GGGCACCGAGAGGGTGGCGGGCTGAGGGACGCGATGCTGGCGCGAATCTCCGGGAGCGCCCAAGACGCGGGGGAGGGGACGGATGGCGCGGCGCGGCGGCGAGCGGGCCACCATCTTAAGCCGGTCTCAGGGGAGAGGGATCGAGGGGCCGAGGGGCCGTAGCTGCTCGACCGCCCCCTGGGGTGTGGCGGCGGGCCGCGGCCTCGAGGCCGCCTCAGCTACACAGGCCACGATCGCCTCAGCCGCGCAAGCGGTGGCCACCTCAGGGCTCTGCCACCGCCTCCTCCGCCTCCACACCTCCCTTGCTAGGGCCTGTGCGCCGCTTTGCCCCCAGCATGGTTTTGGCTTCCATTCTGTAGACAACTCCCTTTAGTCTTTTGTACGTTTGATGTCAGTGTTTGACGAGACCTGCCCACCCGCAGGTCTCTTGAGTCAGAGGAAAAGAGACCAGAGAGGGGTCCAAACTTTCAGGCGTTGAGGCCCCTGAGGTCCCTCCTTTCTGCCCAGGTTTTCCTCACCTAGCTGACCACTCATTGCATGCTCGTTCTTTCCTAAGGGACTTCCCTCCTCTGTCGATAGAAATCGTGCTCCATCCCGTTATTATTTAGGGGAGAAGAACCCTGAGGAGAAACGTGGAGTTAGATGCACAATTTTCTTATAGTGAGCTTTGCAGGTTTTACTTCATGAGACTGAAAAAATTACCTCATTTTGTGGTTTTATCCTGCTTTAGAGATGGAAAGAGTTCCTCTTATCTCGAGTTTTGATGCTTCTAAGTAGACATCTGAGGGAAAATGTCAAAGCGAACCAGGTGCTGCAAGCATAGGGGACCTTCATCAAAGGGATTCTCTTTGTTTGCAAAGATTTGTTAGTTAAAAAAAATCTGTGAACTTTAAGTTTTGTTTTTATTGTTTTCAGGTGTGGAATGTGAGTCTTAATGTATTTTAGTGCCATTGAACATAAAATTGAAACCTAGAAGTAAAGTTTTAAGTTACAAAATCCTCTTCAACATTTGTGAGACGTCCTGCTTTGGGAGTTACTGTGCACTCAAACTGTCTCTTTAAAGCAGAAACTTTACTGATCTTGTGAAGGCACTGATTTGCTTTAAAAATTAAGTTAGGGCTGTGTGTGCCCTTGATGTGTTAACACCAGTAGAAATTCCATTATAATTATATCTGCATTTGTATATTTCATTGCTATCATCCCTTTTGAAATGAGCTTTGGGGTGTTAGGTAGAATTGATTTGAAGATGAGGAAACAGCTTCAGGGAGAGGACTGTGCTGAGGTCATGGGGCTAGGAAGTGACAGAACCAATCCTAGAACCTAGGTCTTCTGACTCCTCATCCAGTGCTCAGTTCACTATATTATGCCCTGTGGGTTGTGGTTTTTTGGGTTTTTTTTTTTTTCTTTTTTTGGTGGGAATGAGGTGGTTAAGAAGAATAGGCAAGGAGGCTCACCTAAAAATTTTAAGAAATACTATTCAGTTCTCCTGTCTTTTATGTTTTTATTTGAAGACTTCTTTGCAACTTTTTATTATTTAAATAATAGTATATTCTTATTTCCAAGTATAATCGAAAAGTTGGATAGCCCATTGAATCCCCACCACGTAATTTCACCAGTTGCTACCATTGTGCTATATTTGCTTTATCTACCTGTCGCATACTCTTTTGCTGAACCATATCAAAGTAAGTTGCAGATAAAATGACAGTTCACCCCTAAATGCTATATGTTAGCATGCATTTCGTAAAATTAAGGACACTTTTCCACATAACCACAATACCATAATCACATCTAAAAAAAATTAAGAATATTCCTTAATAACTAATATACATATGTAAGTACATACTCACATTTCCCTAATTCTCCCCAAAATGTCTTTCTTAATTATTTTTTGTTGAACTGGGATCCAGTCATCATTGCATTTGTTTTAGTCTCATAATTTTTGAGTAGTTCCCTCTTGTTTTTATGCCATTGAAAGACCCACATTCTGTATTTGACTAACAGTTTCCTCCAAATGGTGTTTAACTTAATTCCCTTCTATTTCCTTTATTTTCTATAAACTTGAAGTTAGATCTAAAGGCTTCAGTAAATTCAGATTTAATATTTTTGGTAAAAATACTTCATAGGTCATGCTGTGTACTTCAAATTATACAACATTAAGAGGCACATAAAGTTGAGTTTCTCTATTAATGATCCTAAGTTTGATCCCTTGGGTAAGGACGGCAGTCCATTTCCGTTGTAAGAGTTTTTCTTTGTAATTAGCAAGTAATCTATGGGTATCAGTACTTGGTATGCGTTTACCTGTAATAATCTGATAAACAGATAGTAGAGAGCTGTCTACTAGAAATGAGTGTTGGGGAGTTAGGAAGAAGGAGGGGGGCAATTTTGGAGGAGAGGACTGACTTACCTAGTTTAGGGAACTTGGAATTGCTGCTCCCAGCTGGCATCACGGCTTTGGATGGCTAGGGGAAAGGAGGCTGAAAGTAGGAGACATCAGATTGAGAGAACTTTGCAAGTTTGGCTAGGGCCCTTATAGCAGTAGTGAGCTAAGATATATGGAGAGAAGTTCTGATGTTGGAGAACTCCAAATTTCAGCTTCCCTGGTTCAACCTATTCTCCCAAATTAAGTTATCTAGTCCAGTCTGGCTTCTTAAGCCCAGTGTTTAATTATTCAGCTTTGGCTTTTTCAGTAGGGGAGAGGAGGGTAAAGGGAAAAAAATATGTAATTTTGTACCCTCCTCTCTCACCCACCTGTTTTCTTTATTCAAGAGGACATTTAGAACCATACGGAGAATTTTTTGTTGCTGTCATACTAATCAGGCAAGGGAAATATCTAAATGGAATAGCAATTTTTGTAAGTAGAAAGTAATCTATATTTTTAAGAGGCAGAATATTAGAAATTTATATCGAAAACATTTCGTTATTTCAAAAGTAACTTTTCAAGGAACAGAAATGTTTATGAGTTATATTCATTAATTAAATATATAACCTTGAATTTTTTTTTGTATTCTATTCTTCAGAGAAGGACTTTAAAATATTTTGTTTTCAGTCAGGTTGTTTTGGATAAAGGAGCCCTGGTGGTGCAGTGGTTGAGCACTCAGCTGCGAACCAAAAGGTTGGTGATTTGAACCCACCAGCCTGTTCTGCGGGAGAAAATGTGGCAGTCTGCTTCTGTAAAGATTTACAGCCTTGGAAACCCTATGGGGCAGTTCTGCTCTGTCTTATAGGGTCGGTATGAGTTGGACTTGACTCCATGGTAATGGGTTTGGGTTTTGGGTATTTTAAATGACTCAGGAGAACTTGACTTACTCAGTAATTTATATTAAAAATGTGTACTTAGACTTTAATTTATTCTCTGCAAAGCAGTTTTCTTTTAAGGAATCTTTCTATTAACCCTCAGTCTATCAGGAAAAATAGTCATCATTATCTACCCTCTGGGTCTAATGGACCATTTTTATTTTTTTAATATACTTTTACGTCATTTTACAAATACTTTAAATAAGAATAAAGAAATAGTGAAAAACTATTAGGTATTTAGTAAGAATTTAGACATGACAAACTTTGCATATTCTTAGAAAAATGTAAAGCAGATATGAGAATCTGTCTTTTATTAAGACAGATAGTAAAGGGATTTGCAAAAGTGCAAAACAATGCCACTCTCCTCACTAAATTTGCTATTATTTTAAATAAATTAATACATATTTTTTATTTTCTCGGTTTCAGTTTCTAATATGGTATCAATATAAATGCAACCAACATAAACAAAAAGCTCCTTGGGCCCTTGATAAGTTTAAAGAATGCAAATGGCTCCTGAGGCCAAAAAGTTTGAGAACTACCAATCTGGTGTGCTTTATTTGTAACAGCATTTTAAGTGAATTCTTTACATGAACTGGAATTTTTTTTTTCTCTTTAGTGCTTGTACTCATCAACTGGTGGTATGGCATTGGGTAAAAAAAAGACAAATCAAGCAAAACAGTGGAAAATACTATACAAGGATGTTTCATGTGTTTTATTTAACCTTCACAGTAGTGCTGCGAGGAAGATACTACTGTTTTTATTTACAAGTAGAGAAATTATTAAGGCTCAGATAGGTTGATTAAACCTTCCTATAGACTTGGCAGCCAGGAAATGGTAGAGTCCAAATTCCCACTCAGGTTTTTCAGCCCCTATGTCCAGTGTTCCCACCATTACACTGTGCTTTTTTACTTAGCATTTTCCCTGGTAGATAAGGTTTATTCCTATAAAGTGTGAATTAATAATATATACTTCTTGAGGTTACTTTAGGAGTTCATAGTTATAGACTACATTATGAAACATATAAAGTATGTACTGTATAGATTGGCTTTGAAAGACAGGTAATTATATATTATTTTTCCCCAGTTTATATCATTTACATATGGTTTATAATAAAAGCATATTTCTATAAAGTCTGTAGTCTGAATATGACATAAAAAATTACTTTGCAGATATTAAAGAAATATCTTCTTAAAATGTCCCTGGACTTCATGTGTTTAGGCTTTTGAAAAAAAAGGTAATTTCCACAATATAAAAACTTCTTGAAGAGAGAAAAGATGGTAGACCTCTGTTTTCTTTCTGAATTATATATGATTTTTTTCCCCAAAACCTGGTTTGAGAGTTTGAATTGACTGGCTTCTTTCACTTAGTATAATGTTCACAAGGTTCCTCCACATTGTATCATGTATCAGTAGGTCATTCCTGTTTATGGCTGAATAATATTGTACTGTATAGATTTATCACATTTTGTTTATCCATTAAATCAATTGATGGGCATTTGGGTTGTTTCCACTTTTTGGCTTTTATGAATAATGCTGCTTTGAGCATTTGTGTAAAAGTTTTTGTGTGGACATATGTTTTCGATTTCCTTCGGTATATACCTAGTAGTGGGATTGCTAGATCATATGGTAGTTGCTTAACTTTCTAAAGAACTGCCAGACTGTTTTTCAAAGGGGCTGCATCGTTTTACATTCCCACCAGCAGTGCATGAGGGTTCCTATTTCTCCACATCCTTGCCAACACTTGTTATTGTCTGTCTTTTTGATTACAGGTGTTCTAGTGGGTGTGAGGTGGTATCCATAAATTTGTAAACATACTTCACTATTGTGGTAAAATAGATATAACATAAAATTTACCATTTTAACCCATTAGCTTTTAAAAATGTCTTTTGTACAATGAAATCTTTTAAAAGATAATTGAATTATTTATGTGTGTGTATGTATACTGAAATAAAAAATAGCAAAATAGTATTTATATAGGCAGTCTCCAAAAAATGAATGGATTGTGTCCCAAGAGGTTTTCATAGGTCAGTAACTTAGAATTTATTTTTTTCCCATTGGAACCATGCATTAAACATGGGCATGGTACCTCCACCTGAGTCAATAGCTGAAGTGGAGGGTTCTTTCCTCTTCTGCCTATTTTGGAGCAAATTTGGAAACCCTCTGGAGTTGGTATTATAGGAGTTCTAATATTCCCACTGCATATCTTTGCTGGATATTCATTTCACTTTTAACAACTGATTTAATCTCCCATAGATTAAATTAAAGATAAAAGTTTGCCTTGCCAGCAAAACTCTGAAGTAATGACTTAAGGATTTTTTTGTGGTGATAGTTTTGGAGGGCTCCAATGGCTGAGATTTCAAAGAAATCCATGAAATTTTGTTTGTTTTTTAAACTAGTAATTAAATATGGTATTCTTTAGACCAGCATTGCCCAATAGAAATGTTCTGTAACTTCACTGTTCAGTACAGTAGCCACTGGTCACTTGTGGCTTTTGAGCACTTGAAATGTGGCTAGTGTGACTGAGGAGCCTGAATTTTTAATTTTAATTTAAGTAGCCATGGCTAGTGGCCACCTTATTGCATAGTGTAGCTTTAGACTGAAGTTATGGTTCTAAAGATATCTGAGGATTTCTGACTTTTTAGAGTATTTATGAATGGACCGATTTGTGGCCCACTCCTTAGTGGCTGCTGTGGGCCTCAAAAGCCATCTCTATAGTCATAGGCAGTGTAATGACTTGCGTATATAGACCATTTGTAAATTTAGTATTAATTTTAGAGTGTTTGTACCAATAGATATTTTATATGGTCATTTAATAAAAGTGCTAGATACGAGTTTCATAGGCTGTGCAGTTGTGACTCTTAAAAAATATCCTGTATTCTTGGTAGCAGTAGATCCTTAATGCTGAGCAAGAATTGTCATGTATTTATCTACTTGACATATGTATTACACTAATTCTAGAAAGAAATCTGAGTAGTCAGACCTCAGAACTAGGGAAATTTACTTAAACACAAAATTCAGTAGAGACTCTTATAATAGTAATTGAGACATTTATACCAGTAACAACTTCTAGAGGTAAAGTAATATTTTTTCCCCTTTGGACTAATTGAGCTCAAATAATTTGGAATTGGAAAAATCAGGAAAGCTTGCTTTTGCCAGTCAAAATAAAGACAAACGTGAAGATTGAATTAGCTCTCTATATCCTAATATTTTAGGCTTCTAATGGCTATTTTTGGCCTTTTTTTTTTTTAATAAGAAATAGTTTTTTAAAGAAATATTATTTTATAAAATACAGTTTGTGTGTATGAGAATCCAGAACACAAATTTCTGTTTTAGATAAAGCAATTCAGATGTTTTTTATGTTTATTGTAACACCTTAAAAAAAAAAAAGCCCAAAGAACAATAGACATATAGCTTGTAAATTTCTAAAGGCAAGGACTGTGACTTACTCATCTTTGTTTTTTTCCCTAAATTTAGCTCATTACCTTGTGCACAGAAGGCAAAGAGTAATTTTTTTCAATGAATTAATCTATGATGAAACATATCAAACTAATTTTCTGTTCCTTTTCAGTTAAACGTGATGAGAAACCAGAAAAATATAAACTAAAAAATTTATTAAACTTATATGTTTCCTATAGTAATAATTACATTTATTTCTGAAATGTGAAGAATAGGTAACGGTTAAAGATTAATGTCACTTAGCATTTCAAAATTCAAGTTTACTAAAACAGGTACACTATAGGGTGATTACTTATCTATACAAAGAATGCCTTTAAAATATTATTTGTAATTTAATAATTCATAAGATTTCAAGTAGTAAATGCTTAATAATTCAGCATGTTATTTACTAAGTTCGAGTTCATTCAGAAATGAACCAGTTATGGAACATATCAAACTAAAAAAATGATCTTTTTTGCAGTAGAAAAGATTAAATATGTGTACATTTAATTTAATGAAATCCATCCTAATAGTAGGTATGTCTCTTTTATGGGGAGGAAAACAGACCTACTTGCTACCTTATCAGGAGTCGCATGGTAAGTTTGCTGGAGATCAAAATTAGACCTAAGGATTTCTGAGGCTCAAGTTTTATGTTTTCAATAATTGGTGGTACTTAAAGTGACTTATAAAACTGACTGATGTCATGTGTTGGTACTTAGGTGATAATTTAAAGAAAGTCAACTCTGCAACTTGATGGACGACGATAACTCTTTGCAACCAGAAAGTAAGTATTGCTGTGACGATTGATACTACTAATATGTGGGGCTTTTGTACTGATTCATTTGCTTCAGGAGAAAAAGTGAGAGACAGAAGTGGGCACATTTTCCTAAAAACATTTAAAATTATTAAAGTAACACATACTCATAGTAAAAAATGAACAATAAACAATAAAAATATCAGTAAAGTCAAAGTGTTTCCCTCTCATCCCCAGAAATAACTGCTGTTACTATCAGTTTAGTATATATAATTACAGCCTTATTTATATGCATAGACAAAAAATTTTTTTCTAAATAAGATCATACTACATTTGCTATCATGTGCCCTTTTAAAGTTTTTACTCAACATTATAAAAAGAAAAAAACCAAACCCTTTGCCGTCGAGTTGAATCCCACTCATGGTGACCCCATGTGTTATACAGTAGAACTGTTCCATAGCATTTTCTTGGCTGTAATCTTTAAGGTAGCAGTTTGCCAGGCCTTTCTTTCATGAAGCTACTGGGTAGGTTTGAACCACCAGCCTTTAGGTTAGCAGCCAATCACAAACCACTTGCACTACTCAGGCTCCTACTCAACATTATACCTTGGATGTATTGACAATGGAAGTGCCCAGTTAAGAAGAATGAAGAAGACCTGTGTGCACCAACATGGATATGAATGATATTTTTATCATCAGTATACATGGGTCTCCCTTATTTTTTTAAAATTAGGCATTGCTTGACTTCTCCTAGTTTCCTAGCCCATATATCATCATTATATTTTTTTTTGTATATCCAGTAGACTCCTGTGAGTGGGAGGAAATATGAAGGTAGAAGAAAATGGTTTTTACTCACAAGGAGCTTACTCTAGAGTTGGACATATACAATTAAGACACATGAAGAAATATCAAGCAGTTTGAGATCATATATATTAAATCTAGAATTGCATGGCATGGACTGTCAATGCCGTAAGAGGTGGAAGGAAGAAAAGTGTTTATGGTTTATTATTTCACTTACCAAAAAAAAAAACCAAACCCATTGCCATCGAGTTGATTCCGACCCATAGCTACCCTAAAGGACAGAGTAGAACTGCCCCATAGGGTTTCCAGGGAGCGCCTGGTGGATTTGAACTGCCAGCCTTTTGGTTAGCAGTCGTAGCTCTTAAGCACATTATTTCACTTAGAGCATACTATACAATTTTTTTAAGTACAGTTTAGAAAGGAAAGAGGTCGGTTCATAATATTGGTTACATTTGGGAGGATAGGAAGGTTTTTTCTTTTTTTTTTTTTTTTTTTTTTTTGCTTGCCTGCTTTGGTTTTGGTAGCTGGACTGCTAAACATTAAACGACATTATGCCATTAAATTATTTGTGACATACCTTTATAGAGGGGAAATTAAATTAACAATTTTTAAAAGAATGGGACCTAATTTGTTAAGGTATTCCCTTTGTATGCCATCCCCAAAATATTGTTTCCAATTAGTAACTTTTAAGACCATGATAGAGCATTGTCTTAATTTTGAATCAAAAGTAGAAATGGCATTATTTTAATATAGTAAAGTTACCTTTAGAAAAGATAAAGATGTCATTGTCTAAGCCAGAACCCTGGAATTGTTTTTCATTTTAGTTGTTCCCCATACCCCCCATCATCTCACTTCCTTTATCCAGCACCACTTGTATCCATCCCCATTGCTATAACTTTAGGTTAGGTCCTCCCTCAGTACTTCTTGTTTTTAACGAAAACAGTACACACAGTTTAAAAGGCAAACAACCTGAAAAGGCTTTAAATTGCAATAACAGCAGTTTCTTGAAGGGTTCGAGGGAGGGAGAGAGATCACATGCTTACATGAGGTTAGCAAGTGCTTAAGAGAGTTTGGGGCCTATATACCCCCTGTTTTTTCAGGACATCCACTTTCAGTTGTTTAGCTGTTTTTCTAATTATTTCCATATTTCTACATTTAATTCTTTATATACATTTGCTGTCTCTTGAATTATCAATTTAGCTATTTAATGATTTTCTTATGTCAAGGGAGATGAAAATTTTAGCTTTCTTACATTTACCCTTTCTCCAAGCATCTCCCAATATGTCTTTTATCTCAATTTTTGGTTAAATTGTATTTGATTTCTTCATTATGATGACCACAATAAAAATCATTCACTGATGAGCATATTAACTATGATATTAATGTGCTGTGGACACATTTCCTTTTTTCTTTCTTTTTTTATATATATTCTGTGATTAAAATTTTTCATTTTTTTAATTTGCTAAGTTTTATTAAAATCTATAGCTCACCAATATAGCCCATAAAGACAGTGTTCTATAGCCTAGTTTGGTGAGTAGCATCTGGTGTCTTAAAAGCTTGCAAGCATTCATCTAAGTTACAACTATTGGTGCCTACTTGTCCGGAGCAAAAGAGAAAGAAGGAAACCAAAGACTCAAAAATGAAACTAGTCTACAGAACCAGTAGTCTATACAAACAACAGCACCTTGAGACCAGAAAAACTAGATGGTGCCTGCCTACCACTATGGCTGTTCCAACCAGAGACTCTAGATAGTCCTGGATAGAATGGAAGAAAAATGTAGAACAAAACTCAAATTCCTAAAAACAGGCCAGACTACTGGTCTGGTAAAGACTAGCTGAACCCCCAGGACAATTGTCCCGAGATACTCTTTAAACTTGGAACTCAAACCACTCTCAGAGGTCACCTTTCAGCCAAATGACAGATTGGCCCATAAAATAAATAATATCACCCATGAGTCCTGTGCACCTCAAAATAATCATTTAAATGAAACCAAATGGTAAACATTTACCCTAGACCAAAGATGAGATAGCAAGGGTGACAGGGGAGGGAAGCTAGATTAGTGGAAACAGAACAACCAGAACGGAAATAATGAGAATGCTGATATATTGTGAAAAATGTAAACAATGTCACTGAACAATATTTATAGAAATAGCTGAGAACCTAATTTCCTGTGTACACTTTCACCAAAAACACAATAATAATAATAATAAAAAAAATTTTATAGCCAAGTCTTCCCACACCCTTCTGTAGCCTCTTAATTCAGTTTTCTGCACAGTAAAATTTCTCAGGTAATCTAACAATTTCATTTTTAATCTTTTTTCTTTTCCTTTTCCTTTTTTTTTTTTTTTTTTGGTCTCCTGGAAACATTCCAGAGCCCTGGTGGCACAGTGGTTAAGAGCTCGGCTGCTAACCAAAAGGTCAGCAGTTCGAATCCACCAGCTGCTCCTCGGAAACCCTATGGGGCAGTTCCACTCTGTCCTGTAGGGTCGCCATGAGTTGGAATTGACTCGATGGCAACGGGTAACTGGAAACTTTCCTTCTGGGAGTAGTATTCTGCTGTACTCTGGCTGGCTGCTGTCTAGGCCTACTGAACAGCTATATTGTCCTAGGACTTTGTCTTTGCATTGTGTTGAATGCCATGCTTGCTGCATTCTGTGTTTTCCTCCTTCCTGGTTAGGTCTCATATTTTGGTGGATTCTGTAGTAGCTTCCTGAGAAAGAAAGGGTGAATGAGTGGTAAATATATGATGTTGCTTATCTATAGTCTGCAATCGTGCTTGGTGAAAAGCTTGGCTGGGAATAATCGTAGGTTGAAATTTATTTTTACTAAGAATTTTGAAGGCATTATTCTACTTTCTTTTAGCATGAATACTGTCTCTCACAATACCCCTCCCCTTTCTCTCTGTGGCAGATTTTAGGATATTCTTTTTATCTCCAGTGTTTTGAAATTTCATGATGTTACGTCCCTCTAGTGTAGGTTTTTTCTTTATCATTGTTCTGGGTTCTGGTAGGCTCTTTCAATATGGAAATTTATGTCCTTTTAGAATTGGGAAATTTTCTTGTGTTGTTTGATAACCTTTCCTCTCCTTTTTCTCAATTCTTTTTTCTGGAACTTTTATTTAGGTGAATGTTGTATCTTTGAGATTGATTTTCTAACAATTTTGTCTTCTCTGTTTTGTGTGTGTGTGTGTGTGTGTGGAAAGAGAGTCTCATTTCCAGGAACATTTGCTCAACTTTGGCATTTAATTGATTTTTTTTAACTGAATTAAAAAATTTTGGCTATCATATTTTCAAGAGCTATTTTCTGTTTTCTGAATGTTACTCTTTATAGCATTCTTGTCTTATCTCTCTAAAGATGCTAATTATAATTTCTCTAATATTTTCTCCTACGCTCTGTATTATCTCTCTTATTTTTTCAAGATCCTTTCATCTGTTTTATTGCTTTGGTCTTTCACATTGGAGGTTCTCCTCAAATTTCTAGTGCTCATTGGTTGTCCATCCATATAGTGAAGAACTAAAATGCTTCTTAGGAACTTTGTGTGCTTGGTCAGAACTTGTAGGCTGATGGTATTCACAGTATGTTCTTTTGTTGGTTTCTTTAGGTAAGAAACATCTAATCTGCCCTGGGATGGAATAAACCTCACTTAATTCCCCTATTTTCAGTCTAGCACTTCATCTCTATTTTGCTCTGCCTAGTATCCCTGGATCTGTTTTAGTTTTTCTAGTATAACTCCCATCCGTTGCCTCTTATTCTTAGTTTATCTCTTTTTTGTTGATAGCTTTTTGAGGGGGAGGGGGGTTGTTTTTGTTTTCCATTTAATGGTTAGGTATAATCCTTTTTTGCAGATGTAATCATATTCCAGTCATATAACAAACTCACTTTGATTGGATTTGATTGTTCCTAAAATTTATTGGTCACGGTAAATAACTGTAGATAGGCCTGGATAGAATGGGAGAAAAATGTAGAACAAAACTCAGATTCCTAAAAAAATGGCCAGACTTACTGGACCAGTAGAGACTAGATGAACCCCATTATCTAACTAAATTATGCTAGTTTAGATCTTAGAGAGTGAGCTCTGAGTTTCTTACTGTTGCTACCGTGTACTGACTACAAGTAGCAATTCAGTAATTACTACTAGGATTATTCAAATATATCTTAAATATTATTCTATGTATTGCAAAAAAGTATTTTTCTTTTTGAAAATGAGGTTTGCTTCTCTCCTTTTGAAAATTAGATAATTCAAAAATGGCAGAACTCTTCATGGAATGTGAAGAAGAAGAGCTGGAACCATGGCAGAAAAGAGTAGAAGAGACTGAGAATGAAGACGATGATGAACTGATCTTTGTTGGAGAGATCTCAAGTTCAAAGCCAGCCATTTCAAGTAAGCATTTACTTTAGTAAACCCAACTTTTATAAGACGTTGTTTCTAATTGACTGCTTTATATGTCCTAATGTCCTTGCTCCTCTGTAAGGAGTTAGAGGTAAGTGGGTGGGTGAGGTCTGTAAGAACTCATGAGAATCAAGGTGGAGATGTGGTTGAGGACTTGCGAGAGCAGTAAGAGATTAAAATACCAGATATGACAAAAGGAAAATGTTAACTAAGGGTCAGGATTACCTGATGGCGTTGGAAGCCTCTGAGATTGGAAATCGTAATTTTTTAGTGCAGCTAAGTAGCCTATTTATCTTTTTATTTATTCATGTTTCTTTTTTTCCCTGAAGCCAGAAATACAGATAAGGAAGTGTTAGGAATGCTTTGTTTAAAGTATCAGAATATACTAAATAAGTTTGTGTTAGTCTCCGATGGTGGTTCTCACATCCAGGCAACTGCCTTATCACAATGTCATTTTGATTTTTGGTTCCAAAATACACAGGTGCTTTGTACCAACGTGGGCTGCAGCTTCTGGCCACACCCATCGAATGCAAGTCCTGTTTATATTCATAAAGTGAATATACTGATGACGTTAAAATGTCTGCTCAAAAATGTGTAAAGTGCAGAGGAACAACGTACAGAATTTCATGGGAGAAAGAGGAAACAGTCCTTTCCCATTTTATTTACCTTTTTTTTTTTTAAGCCAGGAGAATTTATCAAAAAATGTAGCCAGCAAAGCAGTGTTTTATTACTTACCAGGGCTCTGTGTAAAATTGTGGTTAAGAGATGAGTTTTAAATTTTCTGAAAGCCTAGTTCTTGCTTCTCTTGCCTCTAAACTTGGAATGGCACTTCTATTCAGTTTTATCAGAAGTAGAATAATTTAACCCATTGAATTCTCAATATCATTTCCTGTGGCAGATTGGGAGGTTCTAAGTGAAGTGCCAGGATGCCAGGAAACCCTGGTGGCGTAGTGGTTAAGAGCTACGGCTGCTAACCAAAAGGCTGGCAGTTCGAATCCACCAGGTGCTCCTTGGAAACCCTATGGGGCAGTTCTCCTCTGTCCTGTAGGGTCACTATGAGTCGGAATCGACTCGACAGCAACGGGTTTTTGGTTTAAGTGACTGGCTGGAGCCCTGATAGCACAGTGGTTAAGAGCTTGGCTGCTAACCCAAAAGGTGGCAGTTCGAATTCACCAGCCGCTCCTTGGAAACCCTATGAGGCAGTTGTACTCTGTCCTGTATGGTCGCTATGAGTCAGAATTAACTCGACGGCGATGGGTTTTAAGTGAAGTTCCACTTCAGTTATACAATAAACTAGGTATGTTGGCATGTTTGTGGTTAATAGTGTCGCTTGGATTATTTTTATACCAAAATATTACCATGTTTCAAAATTGTTCTTTGAATTATCTTATTGAAAACATGACAGATAAGATTGAATTTGGATTTATACTAATTGCAGATGGTAACAGTACTGGTAACAGTACTCAACTAGAACATTGTATATTAGTTTTAAGTGATTCTATCAATAAGAGAAATGACCACAATGGAATTTGTTCTGTAAATTGTTAACTGAGGATTTAAATGATTTTGTTGATATTTTACATGTAAGCCATAAAACATTTTTAGCATATGGAATATGAGCTAAATGTTTATATAGAACAACCAAAAGGGGTAAAAACTTATATTTGGTAGACTATAGCTACCAAAAAGTACTGTAAGAATAGCTCTTTAATGGCTTGAATAAATACCTTGAATTTCTGAATGAAAACAATATCAAGTTATTTGAGCAAATTTTTCTTCTAGAAGACTTCTGTAGTACTTAGTCATGGAGTACCACATTGCCATTATCGGAAAACATTTGATGGGATCTGGTTCTTTTCTACTGTGGTGGTTGTTGGTTGCCGTAGAGTCAATTCTGACTCATGGTGATCCCATGTGTGCAGAGTAGAACTGTGCTCCATATAGAGTTTTCAAAGCTGTGACCTTTCAGAAGCAGATCACCAGGCCTGTCTTCTGAGGTGCCTCTGGGTGGGCTTGAAGTGCCAACCTTTCGGCTGATAGTTAAGCGTTTAACAGTTCAAGCCACCCAGGGACTCCTTTTCTACTAGGAGAGAAAAAAGGAAAATTTTTGAGGTTTTTCTGTTTTATTTTTAATGCTTTCTACCTTTTCCTGACCTACCATTTTAGGCAAATCTCTACTTTTCCAAATTTTTAATTTGATTCTTCAATAACCTAGAAGTTATGGAGTTCACATTGGTACAAGAGGGAGCAACCTTAAACTGATCCAGAGACTCGTGTCAAGTTCTAATTAAATTCTGTTGTGGTGGATTTGAAATCCCTTGGTGTAGCGGTAGATTTGAAATCCCTTAAGTTATGAGATGCTCTGATAAACTCCAAATTCGATTTAGTCTTCAGTCTCTGATAGTTTGCCTTTCAGAATGCAAGAATACTGGCACAGGTAGGTAATCTACCATCAGCCCTCCCATAATGAAACTTCGAGGCTTTTAGGCATGTGAATGGGGTATGGGGGTTGGGGAAGGGTTTGAATTCAGGTCACAGTCTATGCACAGCCCTGTCATCATTAAAGGAAAGAAATATACTTCAATTATAGGTTGTGTATAAATGTTTTTGGAAAGTTTTTCTATTATAATGTATATTTAATTCAAATAATAAAGTTTAAAATAAATATTTTTATAGATATTTTGAACAGAGGTAACTCCAGCAGCTCATCTTTGAGGTCAGTAAAGAGTGAGTCACTGAGTCCAGGTACAGTATTATTGTATTATTTTTATTTTAAAAGAAAATGTTTTGACACGGTTGATTATATAGAAATAAATTCAATATATTATATATTTTAAAATATAGGTATTCCTGAGATATTCAGGTCTCCAGGTCAGCCCGTCACGAACCGAACACCAAGTCCAGCGACCTCACCTAAATCTAAATCTTCACAGGGTTCTGTTACTGTTGAGAACTCGTCTAAACCTGTAAGTGTTTCTGAAACTACTCAGTTAGCTCAGGGGTACGTTGGCTATATTACCCTGTTAGAATTCTAGACTATCATAGTTAGTCACCATTCCAATAAAAGCATAATTAGCATCAGAAAATGATACCATCTTTATGATATTTCAACCAATACCTAAAAGTTATAACTGCAAGAGCTAATTACCTCTTTAATAAAATATGCTTAAATTAAGTAGTTATAGTATTTAACTACTTGCACCCTGGTGGCACAATGGTTAAGTGCTTGGTGGGTAATTGGAACTCACCCAGCAGCTCCATAGGAGAAAGACCTGGCAATCTGCTCCGTTAACGATTACAGCCTAGAAAACCCTGTGGGGCAGTTCTAGTCTGTCACAGGGGGTTACTATGAATCGACTTTGACTCATGGCAACCACATGTATAACAGAATGACACATTGCCCATTCCTGTGCCATTTTCATGATCATTGGTATGTTTAAGTCCATTGTTGCATCTATTGTGTAGTGCCTTTCATCCTAGGGGGCTCATCTTCCAGCACTATATTAGACAGTATTCTGTTGTGATCTGTAGGTTTTCATTGGCTAATTTTCGGAAATAGATCAACAGGCCTTTCATCGTAGTCTGTCTTAGTCTGGAAGCTCCTCTGAAACCTGTCCACCATGGTTGACCCTGCTGGTATTTGATATACTGATGGCATAGCTTCCAGGATCGTAGCAACATGCAAGCCGCCCCAGTGCTGGTGCTTCCTCAAAGCCAGCAAGGCAAAGTCTTCAGCAAGACTGGCTATGTAATCATGTATACGTACATACACATGTACCAAGAGAAGAGTGGGGGATCCATTTGTTCTCTTCCTGACCCCTGGCTTATACATTTTTCAATAAAGAGGATTCCAAAACCCATATCATATACTGTTGTGAAATTCACCCCCAGTTCTGATGAACAATACTGCAAACTGAATTCCCAGTTTGTTTGCCTGACATCTTGTGCATGGGGTTTTTAGAGGTATAGGTGCTTTTAGGTTTTGTATTCATGTGACCATGTTCTGTTTTTGTTTTTTTCTTTGCTTTTGTCTAAGGATTATGCTGAGGTTCTATTATTTGCTAGTAACCCTCTAAAATGTGTTCATACCTAATTGACTTAAAATGGGTTTATATTTTAGCTTGAGAAGGTCAGACCACTATTTTAGTTGGCTATTCAGGAATAAGTCAGCTCTAACTAATAGCTTACTTTCAGTTTCAGTAGATGCTAATTTTGGTAGAGAGTAATAATTATCTTTGTGTTTTATAACTTACTAGTAATTTACTCATTAAGGTTATCTTTATAGTATTGTCATACAGTTAAATTTACCTTTATAAAAGTTTATGACGCAAAATAATTATAATTGTATTGAATAAATTAATATTCTTCCTTTGAAATATTCTTACAGGATTTAACAACGAATTCATCACAAAGTGACTCGGAGAAATCTTCAGTCTTACTATTTGACTTTACCCAGGAGCCACGATTAACACAACAGACCCAAGCATCTTCTCCAGAAGGTTTGTTTTAGCACTTTTTCATAAAAATTATTTAAAAAATTATAAAAAGAAATTTGATGACTACATGTATGGAATGATTTTCTGTTTTTGAAGCTCATACGTTCATGTTAAGTTTTTCATACATTCAAAGGCGGAATGGACTAATAGTTCTTGAATGCCTTTTGTGGGTGATTTTATATAAAAGCTTATATAAGATGTATAATTTAATAATAGAATATTTTATTTATTTCTATTAAGTTGACTATCGTGTATTATTTGAGCTCATTCTTCCTTAGAACTGGCCATGGACCAAACAATCTTAATGTAATTTTTATGAGTCGGGGAAGTCCCTTAATGGTCTAAGTACTCTGTTTTAAAAAATAACAATAATAATTATTTGGAAGGTCATTAGTATGAGAAAAAGTTAATTTCTTAATAGGCTTAATAAGGCTAGTGTCTTTCTATCCAAATAAATGATGTAGATATGATAATTAAATATACTTATGTAGTGTTGTTATTAAATGGCAGTACTAAAGAAGTAGTGATTTGCACATAGTAAGTACCAAGTAAATACCCATTGAAGGAATAATGAAATTTTCCAATTCAAGAAGAGTCACAATTTTGATTGTATGCCATAACAAAGTTTCTCATTGACCTAAAATACAGGCAGTCCCTGGGTTACAAACATGTGATTCAACTCATACGTGCCCTTTAATGTTATGTAAATTTGCCCTCACTTTGAAATAATTGAACCAATCCCTACTTGGAACAAATTCTTCATCACAATCACTTTCACTTGCTGCACGTGCAGCTTTTAAATCATTGAAAAGGCTTCGAGCCTTTTCTTGCACTAAAGTAAGGCTAAACCGTGTGCACCTGTTCTGACTTACTGTCATGGATTGAGTTGTGTCCCCCAAAAATATGTGTATCAATTTGGCTAGGTCATGATTCCCAGTACTGTGTGATCGTCCACCATTTTGTCATCGAATGTGATTTTCTTATGTGTTGTAAATCCTACCTCTATGATGTTAATGGGGGCGGGGGGGATAGGCGGCAGTTATGTTAATGAGGCAGGACTCAAATCTACAAGATTGGATTGTGTCTTGAGCCAGTTTCTTTTGAGATATAAACGAAGTGAGCAGACAGACACGGGGACCTCATACCACCAATAAAGCAGCACCAGGAGCAGAGCATGGCTTTTGGACCCAGGGTTCTTGTGCGGAGAAGTTCCTAGTCCAGGGGAAGATTGATGACAAGGACCTTCCCCCAGAGCCAGCAGAGAAAGCATTCCCCTGGAGCTGATGCCCTGAATTTGGACTTCTAGCCTACCAGACCATGAGAGAATAAATTTCTGTTTGTTGAAGCCATCCACTTGTGGTATTTCTTTTATGGCAGCACTAGATAACTAAGACACTTACCTACAAATTCGACTTAAAGACACAGTAATGGGTCTCGTTTGTAACCCAGGGACTGCCTGTAAATTAGTATGCTACGAAGGAATTTTATCTAGTTGAAAAATTCTCTGTAATCAAAGCAATTACTGTTTCTATATTAGCAATTTTGATATATTTTACTAAATAGAGAAAGGAACATAAGAACTTACTGAATTTTCAAATTGTTTACTAACAAATATGTAGCATTTGTCAAACAACAGAAAAAAATTTTAGTAATATAAATGCCAAAAATGTTTTTCCGTTTTGATAATACTTGGTTTGATATTTAACCTATCTAGATGTCGCTTAGCTAGTTAGTAAAATAGCCAAGAACCAAAAGAATCAGGGAAATAAAACAGTTGTCTTAAATCTGATTTTACAAAACGTGAACTTTATCCATAAAAAAGTCTGAATTCTTGAAACTTCTAGATAGTAAAGACAATGACTCCTAGTCTCCTTCTGTAAGTTTTTATACTATAGCAAGTGGGACTTTGCCCTGAATGGTAAATAGGGTTTTAGTTGATTTCCTCTGTTCTAAAGATTTTTGTGGCCTTTATCAATCACCTAACTGCTATACCTCATATTATTAAAATAGAGATTTTTTTTTTCACATAATGTATTCATTCTTCAGACCTGAAATCAGCCATTTGGATATATGATTTTAATTCTTGCTCTATGTATCTCAGGGCTTTTTTGAGGCCTAAATAAGTGAAAAGTGAAAATGCATTATAAGCTTTGAAGGACTTGACAATAAACAGCTGTTAGAATGATAATTGTGAATGATAATATATGCTGTGTGTTCAGAAGCATGATTAATTAACTCCTGTCTAGGGTGACAATGGAAGGTTCTTGGAGAAGGTTGAATTTGAGCTTGAGCGTGAAGAATGAGAACTGAATTTTTATTGGCACAAATAAGAACTGTTAAGGGTAGGGAAAAGCACAAGCGAAAGTCAACAGATAAATAAAGGGTCAGAATTTAAAACTATTAAACTCAGAATGTTTTTATCTAATTTGGAGGTTTTCTCATGCTTAAAACATTGTATAGTAAAACCATCTATTTTTACTATCCCGCCTATTATATAATCAGTTGCCTAGTCCAAAATACCAGCCCTCATTGGTTGTTCAAGTAACCTAAGCATTTCAGATTATTAATGTGATGATACAAAATCAGTTCCAAGTGCCTGCAGTATAACTGTCAGTTATCGTGTGCCTGTAAAGATGGGGAAAAAATTATTTCTATGTGACTTCAAAGAATGAAACACATATTTGATAGAGGAGCCCACTAATGTAATCTTATTTTCCTGGTATATTTCCCCTTATTAAAAAGCTGACAGGTGAATCTATTGGGATAGGTTTTTATTTCTTTAAAATAAACTAAGATAGTATAAAATATTTTGTTAGTAACAATACAAACCAAAGCCCTTACTGTCGAGTTGATTCTGACTCATGGCAACCCCATGTGGTTCAGAGTAGAACTACACTCCATAGGGTTCTCAATGTCTGCAATCTTACTGAAGGAGTCCCTGGGTGGTACAAATGGTTAAGCACTTGACTGCTAACCAACATGTTGGCAGCAGTTCGAACCCACCCATAGGCACCTCAGAAGAAAGGCCTGGCAATCTGCTTCCGAAATGTCACAGCCTTGAAAACCCTACGGAGCACAGTTCTACTTTGCAAAACATGAGGTTGCCATCAGTCAGAACTGACTTGACAGCAACTGATTGGTTGGAATCTTACAGAAGTAGATCACCAGGCCTTCCTTTACGTGGCACTGCTGGGTGGATTCAAACTGCCAGCCTGTCAGTTAGTAGCCAAATGCAAACTGTACCACCCAGAGACCTAGTAACAATGATAGCTACCGTTTATTATTGAGTGCCTGCTATGTGCCAAATGCTGTGTTGGGTATTTTAAATACGTTATCTTATTTGAACCTTAAGATAGCCCTTTAGAATAAAGTATTATAGCTCTTATTTTACAAATGAGGAAATTAAAGCTCAGAGAAGTTAATTAAATAAGCCAAGAATACACACACAGCTATTGAGTAGCAGTCGGGATTTGAACTTAATCTTGTCTGACTTAAAAGTCTAGAATATTTCTAATACATCTACTCTATTGATTTTCCCATTAGTGTACAGTTGGGAACATTAAAATATGATGTACAGTTTTAGAATCTTTATTACAAGGTACAGTTGTGGCTTATTTTCAAAAAGGAGTTTTGCCTGATCTGGTTATAGCCTAAATAGCCCCATTTTTCTTGCTAATGCTCTGAATTATATCATCCTTTAGCCTTTGATTTGCTGATTTTCAAGCTCAAAACTATTTTTAGCAATGAAATCTCTACTGAAAATTTTCTGCAAAAGTCTAATAAATAAAATATAAAAGAGTTTCTCTATCTGACTTGCCCACTATATTCCCTAAGATGAATCCATTAGGCTCTGAGGAACATAATTTGAAATCCATTATACTAACATTTAATCTTTTCATATGAATGAGTGAGGTTATTATTCAAGATTAGTCATTCTGCGTTTTACATAGGGAATAAACAATTTAATCTAAAGCCATGAGTAGACCATTTGTCAGTTTCTTAGATAGAAAAAGAACCAACATGAAGTGTTTCATTAGAAATCTTATGTTGTTAAATAAAAAGCATCTTAAAGGGTCTCTAAATTTTTAGAATAAATAATTTTTTTTTTTTTTTTTACAAACTCAAATGCATTCAAGCTCCTAAAGATAAATTTATTTGTAGGAACTTAGCTCAGAGTATTCTCTCTGCTTTAATTTGTTTTGGGGTGGCGGAGGGAGGCTTGGGATTTTTTTGGTCTGACTTCTTTTATGATGCTATTCATGTATTTCTTCATTTGAAACATTTAGAATTTTCTTGCATAAAAAGATTATTTCATGAATTATTTAAATATATGTAGTCAATAATAGCTATGCAATTCCTTTCCTCCTCTTCACTATATAAATTTTGATCATTCTTTATTGTCATTTGTATGAAATGAGAATTCAATTAGATAACATTTAATTTAGCTCCAAAATACTTTTTCTTAATTTTAAATATAGGGCCATTTTAGTAGCAGTTGTAAGCAATATTCTATGCTCAACTATTTACCAGTATCTTTCCCACTATTTAAATCATCACAGATACGGATCAAAGTTCACCTTCATTAAAACGTCCTTCTACTTCTGAAGTAAACAGTGTTAATCCCAAAATGCCAAAGCCCAGCGAAGGTTTTTCTGACATATCTGACATAAGTACCTCATCCTCAGTGACATCTTCCCAGGTTGTGCTATCACAAGGTAAATATGAAATCTAGCATATAAAAAATAGTTATTTTAAAACTATTATTAGTGGTTGCTTAATGTTAAAAAGGATGAATTTGAGTTATAAAAGTCCTCAATCTATTTCAGGTACAGATACCTCACCAAGTCAAAATACAACTGGAACACCTTGTCCAAAGTGCAATGTTATGTTCAGTCTTTTGGATCCTTTGAAATATCACATGAAGGTAATACTTTTACAAAATTAAAAAAAATGTTTATAGAATGTTAACATTAAGGATTGATACACAGCGAATGTTGGTTTGTCTAGATGTTTTGATAAGAAATCTTCTCATACTTATATTTCCATAAAACTTATACTGATATTTCCATATAACTTAAGTAAAAATTTATATTCATAATGATTATAAAAGGTCTTAAAATTCCTTCCCAGTCATCAGATCATCAACCATCACATTTTTAAAATTGAGGTCATGTACACTAGATCCTGCTATGTGTTTAATCTTTTATATATCTTAGAAATTCCTTTTGTTTAATTTAAATTTTTTGTTCATGGTAAATGTACGTATCACATATAATACTCAGACGTAAACTCGTAGAATATAGTTTGTGTAGTTGTTTACAAATTAATTCTAGCTTTATATTGGTTTAGGAAGCTCTAGAAATTAAGTTTTAGGTACTTTTCAAAATACTAATGAGATACGGGGTTTAGGCAAAACTCAAGATATTTTAGTAGACATTCTAGTCCTGTTGTGTTCTGCGTAAAAACAGCCTGCATTCTTCTTGCATACAAAGTGTAAATGGCAAGAAGGGATAAAGAAGGCAAACAAAAAGGCAATGTAGGTTATATGAGGAAAAGAAGAGTGCAAGCCAAAGAAGAATTTAGGGAATGTTATTGCTCACTATTTCAAAGACTGGCAAATTTTTACTGAAATTCATCATCCCCTGCCTCCCTCCCTACCCCCCGAGAAAAAAAGAAAGAAAATATAGGAGTGCCCTAAAATTCTAAAATACAATCTCTTTATTCTTGGGCAGAAATGTATTTGGTCTATCTCTACTTCCACCTCCCAGAGTGTGGTTCCTGATAACTGGACTTTGTGTTTTGGTTTTATGTAAGAAGTATCCTCTATAAATGCTTTCAGTTTTCCTGTCTATATAATGTTATAATGAGATACTTAATGTTTTGTGTTTTGTATTATAAATGATGAGGAAAGAAAGGGCGGAGTTTTTAAATTATCTTTAACTTATTTTTTAATAGGTAATATACTGTATTTTTACACAAATAATGCACTTTCGAAAATACCTTGAGGGGGTAGGTAAATAAATGTAGAAGGCATGCATTATTTGCATAAAAATACAGTGGTCACAAGATTCAAAAATAAAAAGTATAATAAGGTACTCAGTGAAAAATTTCACCCTTATCTTCTGTTTGCCTAATTCCCAATATGACTCCCAAAGGAAATTGTTTTTTAATTGTTTTATATCCTCTCTGACTTTACTTCTGCAAAATACAAGCAAACACTAATGGTCTTATTTTCCATCTGTTTTGTACACAAATCACAGCATACAATATATATGAGAAAGTAGCAACTGTTCTCTAAAATGTAGCTTTTATTTATTATAGCATTGTTTATGATTAAAACTATGGGGGAAATTTCTAGTTTATATTTTTTTATATAAGTTCATTTACAGTACAGATTTCCATTTTGGAAAAAAAATACTGAGTTTTAGATTATTTGTGAATGATCTTGTGCCATTATTATAGATAAGTAGAGGATTACTATACTACTGAAATAATATTTCTTACAATGGAACAATATTTAAAGTATAAGTCAAACACATCCTGGCCAACCGACTGGAAGAGATCCATATATGTGCCCATTGCAAAGAAACGTGATCGACAGAATGCGGAGATCATCGAACAATATCATTAATATCACATGCAAGTAAAATTTTGCTGAAGGTAATTCAAAAATGGTTGCAGCAGTGCATCGACAGGGAACTGCCAGAAATTGAAGCTGAATTCAGAAGAGGACATGGAACGAGGGATGTCATTGCTGATGTCAGATGGATCTTGGCTGAAAGTAGAGAATACCAGAAAGATATTTATCTGTGATTTATTGACTGTGCAAAGGCATTCGACTGTGTGGGTCATGACAAATTATGGATAACATTGTGAAGAATGGGGATTCCAGAACACTTAATTGTGCTCATGAGGAACCGGTCCATAGACCAAAAGGCAGTCATTTGAACAGAACAAGGGGATACTGCATAAAGTCAAGAAAGGTGTGTGTCAGGGTTGTATCCTTTCACCATACTTATTCAGTCTGTATGCTGAGCACATGATCCAAGAAGTTGGACTATAGGAAGAACGGGGCATCAGGACTGGAGGAAGACTCATTAACAACCAGCAGTATGCAGGTAACACAACCTTGCTTGCTGAAAGTGAAGAGGACTTGAAACACTTTCTGATGAAGATCAAAGACTACAGCCTTCAGTATGGATTACACCTCAACATAAAGTAAACAAAAATCCTCACAAATGGACCAATAAGCAACATCATGATAAACGGAGAAAAGATTGAAGTTGTCAAGGATTTCATTTTACTTGGATCTACAATCAACACCCATGGAAGCAGTAATCAAGAAATCAAACAATGTATTCCATAGGGCAAATCTGCTGCAAAAGACCTTTTTAAAGTGTTAAAAAGCAGAGATATCACTTTGAGGACTAAGATGCACCTGATGCAAGCCATGGTCTTTTCAGTCACCTCATATGCATGCGGATGTTGGAAAATGAATAAGGAAGACCGAAGAAGAATTGATGCCTTTGAATTATGGTTTTGGTGAAGAATATTGCATATACCGTGGACTGCCAGAAGAACGAACAAATCTGTCTTGGAAGAAGTATAGCCAGAATGCTCCTTAGAAGGAAGATGGCAAAACTTTGCCTTCCATACTTTGGACGTGTTATCAGGAGGGACCAGTCCCTGGAGAAGGACAGCATGCTTGGTAAAGAGGGTCAGCGAAAAAGAGAAGACCCTCAACAAGATGAGATGGATTGACATAGTGGGTACAACAGTGGGCTCAAACATAGCAATGATTGTGAGGTTGGAGCAGGACCGGGCAGTGTTTCGTTCTGTTGTACGTAGGGTCGCTATGAGTCGGAACTGACTTGACAACACGTAACAACAACGGATAGTGTGTTGAGGCTTACAAGATCTTCCTGATGCTTCTCTTTGTATCTCATACATTTTCTAGCACCTTGAATCTGGGGAATGGCAGGATAGCTGTGCTCAACGTCCAGTTTCAGTCAAGCTTCACTGAAATACTACTATGTTATTTGATAATTTAAAATATACATAATGGCTTATAAAACTACCTTTCCTTTTAAACTATATCTTGACACAGATATGAAATAAATGACTTTTGGCCAAGGGGAAAATTATTATGAAATATTTACTTCTGAAAAGGTAAATTGCAAGAAAAAAGATATTAGATCTATACCCAGCCCTAATGGTAAGGTTTTTAATTTGTTTGGAGGATTATTTCTTTGTTAATTAAGATAACAGGTGTTTATTGTTTGAATAAGGGTTGTATGTGTTTTCTTTTTCAGCGTTGTTGTCCAGACATGATAAACAACTTTTTGGAAAATACTAATTCTGAACTTCCAAATACAGAAGATAAAAAAATGACTGGTTCAGAGAAAGGCAAATTGATCATGTTAGTGAGTGACTTTTATTATGGAAGACATGAAGGAACTGTTGAAGAACAGAAGACTTACACTACCTTTAAGTGCTTCAGTTGCTTGAAAGTTCTTAAAAATAACATTAGGTATGGAAATACTTATTTTTATTTCTGTTTTAAAACTGGAATGCTACAGATATAAGTGTATCTTGAATTTTTCTGTGTCATCCTAGATAAGCAATTTTAATGCTTTCTACTAAGAACAGAGGCAGATTATCTTGCTGAAAAGCTTTTGTCCTTATGTTTTAAGAGTCTGATTCCTGGATCCACTTAGTTGTATCTTTCATATAGCTTAAAGAACAAAAATTTTTTTTAACTTAAGGGAAAATTATTTCTTTTTTCCCTATATTATCATTAAACTAGAAGTTTTCATGAAATATCTTTATTTTCTAGCTGCTTTTGAATCTTCATATTACAAGGGAACCACTTTATCCAGTGTGACTTCTTCCGTACTAGTCTTATTTAATGCTCAAATTTTTAAATTCATATTTATAACTTTTAGCACATTTACATTGCAGAGAAAGTGATCTTTTTTGCTGATCCTCTTTAGAAAATTACCAGTTCTATGAAACATGTCTGCTTTGAGTTTAAAATTTAACACATTTTAAAAATAGATATTTAATTCCTAATTGAATTTTGAAGATTTTTTTTTATACATGTATGCTTTAAATTTTAGCAACTTGTACTTTTCAGTCTTCGAGTTATATGGCTTTTTTATAAAAAGTGTTTTTAAAAAAAATTTACAGTTTTTTTTTTTTCCTACATTGAATGTCACCAAAACCAGTGAGTGTTATTTTATTCTGAGAACAGCCTTGCAGGAGGTTTGCTTTTAATCTTCTATCTTCATCTACTTGTTTGAGAAGTATGAGCTGCTGATGGGAGGTGGTATAATAATTGAGACACAACTAGTTGGTTAAGATTATTTCATGTGTATAGATTTTAAGTACTTAAAATTATAAGCTGAGAGATTAATGGCTCATGACCTTTAAAAAGGTCTGTGTGTAAATATTTAGCCAAGACTAGGATTTTTAGTAGGTTATCGTATTAAAACCAAAGGAGGAAAAAAGATATTTCAAGGTATACCATAACCAGCTCTGAAGAGAAACAGTGTTTTGGAGATATGAAATAGAGATAAAGGTTAAAACCTTCATGATGATTGATGTCTAGGTTGATGGCATTATAACTTAGTTTCAAGATTATTTCTTTCATGGACTCAAAGTGCATTAATTGTTAATAATTGACACAGTCTGAAAATTATAGTTTTGATTAAATAACTTTACTTCCAAATTTAGCAAAAAGCTTTAGTAAGCTCTTTGAAATAGGTATGCCCATTTATATTGCATTCTGTGCCGATGAAGATCATAGTTCTGGCCCGTAAGAATCATTTTAGGGAAGCTGAAATAGCCGAATGTAAACTGAAAAATGGACAGTGCCTACAAAGGGGACAATCTGCAAGTCAAAATGAACAGTCTGCTAACAGTAAACCAGTATCATTAAATAAAACAAAAGGTTCTTATAATTATAGGCATTAAAATTGCTAGTGCATGCATTTAGAAACCGAGACACAAGTAAAAATATGAATAATTTGTCTTTTAAGCCATAGGAACCGATTACATATCTTCAAGGCCTTCAAAAGATTTCTCTCATGACTTTAGCTGCTTTTGGTGGGAGGGTTTCCTTCCTTTAAGTATTTCATTTTAAAATATAGATAGTACTTCATGTATGGAAAAGAAGCTTGCTGTTTTTCTTTACCAAAAAAATTATTTTTCAACCTGAAATAATTCTTAAGAATTATAGCACATTAGTGACATTTCATATTAACTGCATTAATGGGTTATTTTCAAACAAAGATTAAATGAAAAATGTGTACTGAGCCACCTAATGGATGTAATTATTTAAAGTACATACTTTTCTAAAGGGCTTTAAGGCTTTAGAGATTTTATTTTGAGTAGTACAAATGTGTTTTTAAAATTTAGGTTCACACAACTACCACAGCCTCCACCAGACTGAGTCCAGTACAATTAGATGGTGCCCAGCTACCACCACTGACTGCTCTGACAGGGATCACAATAGAGGGTCCTGGACAGAGCTGGAGAAACATGTAGAACAAAATTCTAACTCACAAAAAAAGATCAGACTTACTGTCCTGACAGAGACTGAAGAAACCCCAAGAGTATGGCCCCCGGACACCATATTAGATCAGTAATGAAGTCACTCCTGAGGTTCACCCTTCAGCCAAAGATTAGATAGGCCCACAAAACAAAATGAGATTAAAGGGGCACAGCAGCCTGGGGGCAAGGACTAGAAGGCAGGAGGAGATAGGAAAGCTGGTAATAATGAACCCAAGGTCAAGAAGGGGAGAGTGTTGACATGTGGGGTATCTAAAGTACCATAAATAAATAAATAAATAAATAAAATAAATGAATGAACAGGGTAAAAATAGGTTCAGGTAGTTGTTTGAGGGTTTTTTTTTTTCAATCTGAATTTTTGTACCTGGTAACAATCATCTATAGGTTTATGAACCACATGAAACACCATTTGGAACTTGAAAAGCAGAACAGTGAGAGCTGGGAAAATCACACCACCTGCCAGCACTGCTACCGTCAGTATCCTACACCATTCCAGCTGCAGTGTCACATTGAAAGTACACACACCCCCCATGAATTTTCTAGTAAGTTATAACTTCACTTTAAAGTACTGAATATTATTGATATTAATGATGTAAACTGTGAGGAAACCTTAAGAATTCTGATTGAAAAATAAAGAATACAAAATATACTTTGTAATTTGAGAGCAAAATTGAAAAAGACAAATTTTAACTTTTATATAAATAAAATAGTAACTTTTTAAAATAAAATTAGTTACTAAAATTAAAGTCGCTTGGAAATAATTCATTAGTAGAAACTCCCTTGGCATAACTCATGTATTATATATAAGGGACTAAATTTAAAAACTCAGATTCCCTGGTTTTCAAATATGAAATCAATGGCCATGATTTAAACTTTTAATAAGAAAAATAATTACAATGATAGTTAAAACCACAGAGTCTGGAGATAGACATTTTGGTTCAAATCCCAGCTCTGCCTCTTAATACAGCTGCGAGATCTCAGACAAATTTCTATACCTCAGGTTCCTCATCTGAAAAATAGGAATAATAGTAGTACCTTTCTCGGTGATGTTGTGAAAATTAAGTGAATATGAGTAAAGTGCTTAGAACAGTGCTACAAAGTTAACAACTATAGATTTGTTAGAACCACCATCACCACTAGGACAACTATTACTATTATTACTGTTGTTGCAGTTGTGGATGTACAAAATGATTTTTTAATTTATGTGCATCCTTAAAATGGCATAATATCTTTTTTTCTACTTTCAGCTATTTGCAAAATCTGTGAATTGTCGTTTGAATCAGAACATACTCTTTTACAACATATGAAGGACACTCATAAGCCTGGGGAGATGCCATATATTTGCCAGGTACACATACATTTTATTGCGTACTTAGGTGCTTATTTAATATTCATGTGCCATTAAATGACATTCTTCTGTTTTTTTAACCATATAATTAAATAATATGGTTTTAGTTACTAAAATTGAGGACCCTCTTGTAAATAATTAGTGAAAACTCCCTTGGTTTAACTCATGCATTATGGGGGGGATGGTGGGCTGGATTTGGCATGCAGGCCATAGTTTGCTGACCCCTGTACTAGAAAAATAAAAATCCTGCTGGAGAAAGACAAATATAGGGACTTATTTTACCATACAGGAGAGAACATAAGCATGCCAAGGACATAGAAAATATTATTAGTTATAGAAACCCAGTTAGATGCTTTGGGACTGGTATTTTTCCAGAATTTGAAATGGCTCCCAATAATAGGAAAGCAGGATAAAGATAAATTTCCACTGGCATAGCCTGGATGCCATTTAAAATCCAAAGAAATGAATGCTCTGTTTCATTTAGCAGGAAAAATTCCTATAGAATTGTCCTATAGATAAGAGGTGTCAGAGCTTGAAAATTCAAGTGAAGCTAGGGGGTTATAGATCTGAAAAGAAGAAGGGAACGTAATCATGCTTTGGGAATGTATCCCTAAACTTTGAAAGATAACTCTTCTGTCTCAAAGATTATCTTTATTGCTTGCAATAATGGGGTTCTTGGTTGTATAAGCAGCAGAGTTGAATTAGTAGTACATAACATTCTTCTAAACAAATGACTCATCATGGCTACTTTGATGTAATTTCATATCAGTTATAAATTTTCAATTTAAACTAAGCCTTTCTTACATTTCTAGGTTTGCCAGTATAGATCTTCATCCTTTTCTGAAGTAGAAACTCACTTTAGAACATCCCATGAAAACACTAAGAACTTGCTGTGTCCATTTTGCCTCAAAGTTAGTAAAATGGCAACACCCTACATGAATCATTACATGAAGCATCAGGTGAGATTTACCAGTTCTTACTTGTTCATATTGTCTTAGTGAAAAGACTGATTATAACTTAGCATATTGGTTAGATTTGTTCTCGAAAGAGTGTTCCAAACGACACAATTTATAATTTAACCTGAATTACTTGCAAAACTTCTTTTTCTTGTCTGCTTTCTGGTGATTATGGGGCTCATAAATAGTGAAAATTCTGAAAAATGTCTAGAAATACGCAGTGGCATCACTAGGGGGTTACGGACCACATCCCCTGACACTATCAGAGGGAATGACACCAAAATGACCCCAGGGTCCAGGTCGTGGCAGTGGGTGGGCTGGAGGTGCCGCCAAGGCAGTGGTGTCACTAGGGGTGGTGTCACCCCATCACCCGCCAGTCACTAGAGTTGGTGTTACCCAGTACAGGTAATTCATCACACTCCCTCCACCCTCCCCCACTCACCAGTCAGTGTGCGGTAGAGGAGGGTCTCCGCCTTGGCCAATGGGAGAGGGGAGGAGCTGTGGTGAGCTGTGGGGGATGGAGCCAGGGGGAGGCTCCCCCCAAGCTGTGCTTGGCCCTGTGTGGGGGCAGGGCTGGGTCACTCCACCCATGGCGGGGGGGTGGGGGGTGGTCCCTGGCCAGCCCTGCCCACCACAGGCAGTGGGGGCTGTTTGTGACACCATGAGTTACTGTACTGGGTGACACCAAACCCTAGTGACGCCACTGGAAATAGGAACCATACAGTGGAGGGAAAAAGAGAAGATCATTGGAATATCTAATCAGGGTTGGATAATTCAGGGTCTAAGAGTAGCGGGGAGCCCTGGTGGCATATTGGTCAAGAGCTTGGCTGCTAACCAAAAGGTGGGCAGTTCGGATCCACCAGCCACACCTTGGAAACCCTACGGGGCAGTTCTGCTCTGTCCTGTAGGGTCGCTGTGAGTCAGAATCAACTCGACGGCAACGGTTTTGGTTTTTTTTTTTAAGAGTAGTGGGAATGGGAATGATTTTTAAAATAGTTATCAAAAGCAGGGAACAGGATAAGTTTGAACTGAGTAAGATAGTATTGAAGAGAAAGTTTCTGTTCAAAGTTAATTTCCACTTTCTAGCTCCCTTTTTTTGAGAAAGCATGTGGTTGTCATCGGTGACCCAGAGTGGTCTTTTGTAACAGTTTGTGACAAAGGAAACCGCACTGACACTTATTACCAGATACGTGAACTATGCCAACAAACTATATTTAGGCTATCACTTGTTTTCTGGATGACTTTTGCCAGTTATACTATGTAATGTCTGAGATACCATTATTAGTGCTTGCACCTTTCCCTTGAATTCTGATTTTATGCTTACTGGTTCTTTTCCTGAAACAATTAGACCTTCCTTTGTTTGGGCTAAAAGCATTGATGAAGCACTAAACCTATTCTTGAGTATTTGAAAGAATAGTAGTGCCTTTGCCAAAATCAGAAGTCAATGGATTTACTGAATCTGATCATGTAATCAAGTTTTGCCTCCTTGCTGATCAGCCATTACATTTTCTTATCATTTGGTTGCATTGTCATGGCCAATTTATTCAGCACTGGCACTAACATTGCCTTCAATTCTAGTCATTGGATAATCATGAAATCAACTCATGGTTGTTCATTGGAAAAATAATAATAAAAGTAGAATTTGCAAATACATTGAGGATCACCTAAGTTATGACTTAGATGGTACCAACAATAGCTTCCTTACCACTGTATCCTGGTACACCACCTCACCCTTGAGAACCTCTGGCAAGATCTTTCTATTCTAGGGATTCCCCAACAGTGTTCCATCAAATGTTAAAAGGTGTTCCCCTCAAAAATGTTCCTGGTAAAATAAATTTGGTAAATGGCTGGATTTACAAAGTCAAGTAGTTTTTTGTTTGTTTTTTAAAATTGGACTTCTCAGAGCTTTTAATATGATAATAGACATGGTAAATCTCCAAGTAAGTGTTATAGTATGTATTGTTCCCCAAACTTATTGGACCATTGAATGCTTTATTTGCATAACACCTATTAACATTTCTTGAGGAACAGAGTTTGGTGAACACTGTTCTTAGTGCTCTATATCTTTTGGCCTTTGATTTTGAAAGGAAGAATGAGATGAAGCAGTGGCTCTGACTGTTTCATTATGAGACTTTTAACATAATTCTTTCCCCTATGCTTTACTAAGCTCCAGACTGAAATATAGATGTGGGGAGAATGATATATGCCTAAAAGGTAAGAAAGAGGTGGGTGGGCCCACTATGTGGGCTGTGTCTCTTCAGTGGTTTACATGATCTGTAGTCATCTTCATACCCTGAGTTGTACATCTTAACTTGCCATGTATGTAGGAAATAGTTAACCCAGCAGATCTGAGTTGCTGAAACTTTGCACATTTTCAGAAGGGCCTGCTTGCATTATTGGCCCTTGGCTAACTCTTGGGAATTGGGTCGTTGAAACGTTCCCTATGTTATTAACTGATAACTCTTATCAGTTATCAGTTAACTGATAACTCTTATCAGTTAACTGGTAACTGATAAGATCCTGCTCTGGATCCTGCTGTAATGAATCATAGCTGTTAGTATAACAACTTCTGAGTTCTGTAAGACCTTTCTAGCAAATCATGAAACATGGGAGTGGTCTTGCAGACACACCATGAGTGCCCACTTTTTTTTGGTAAATTTGGAGTACCTAGAAGGTAGGCAAAGAAGCCCTGGTGGTGGTGCATTGGTTAAGCACTCATCTGCTAACCAAAAGGTCGATGGTTCAAACCCACCAGCAGCGCCATGGTTCCACAAGAGAAAAGACCTGGCAATCTGCTCCAGTAAAGAAACCCTATGAGGCAGTTGTACTCTATCGTATAGGGGCCCTGTGAGTCAGAATCGATTTGATGGCACACAACAACAGCAGCCAGCAGTGAAGAGGAAAATCAAAAAAAAAAAAACCCATTGCCATTGAGTCAATTCCGACTCATAGCGACTGCCCCATAAAGTTTCCAAGAGCACCTGGTGGATTCGGACTGCCGACCTTTTTGTTAGCACCTGTAGCACTTAAACCACCATACCACCAGGGTTTCCAAAGAGAAAAGAATCTGTTAAGAAGGATCATCAGGCATCCTTCAAGGTATTTTCAGTTTGCATAATTGTTCACAAAACACTTGAAAACCATAGCTGAGCAAGATTATAAACTTGTAATTGAGATGACATTATTGGTACAATATTAGGTAATAAGAATTGTTGCATCTGTGGCTCATTTTGGAGTCCCTGGTGGCACAGTGGTTAAGCACTTGGCTACTCACCGAAAGATTGGCAGTTTGCACCCACCAGCCGCTCCACAGGGGAAAGATGTGGAGTCTGCTTCCATAAAGATTTACAGCCTTGGAAACCCTAGGAGCAGTTTTACTCTGTCTTATAGGGTCGCTATGAGTTGGAATCGATTCGACAGCAATGGGTTTGGATTTGGTTTGGCTTTATGGCTCCTTTTATTCTCTTTGAAGACTTTGGTTGTAACTTTTCTTTAAAAGAATGCATTATTATTGAGGAATTTTAGAGCTAACAATCCAGTTTGTATGACTTTTAAGAAAGAATAAAACATTTCAGCTGTGTTAAATAAGCTCATTAGATCTCTAATAATACTAAGCAGTTAATGTATACTTAACCATATGGTGCTTTATGTGTATTATTTAATCCTTACAATCACCCTACAAAGCAAGTATATTGTTATTTCCATTCTATAAATAAGCAAACAGAGCTTTAAAGAGAGTAACTTGCCAACGTCACCTTATCTAATAAGCAGCACAGCCAAAAAATTGACTCCAGAGCCCAAGTTTTTACATAATCATATTCACACTGATACTACAGATAGTCAGAATTACCCTTGCAAATCCCTCAAATCACCCAAACAATATAGTATGCTTGTCAAAAAGTTCAACCAAAAAAAAAAAAATAACAAACCTGTTGCCCTAGAGTTGAGTTGAGTTGATTCCGACTCGTAGCGACCCTGTAGGACAGAGTAGAACTGTCCCCATAGGGTTTCCAAGGCTGTAATCTTTATGGAAGCAGACTGCCACATCTTTCTCCCACAGAGTGGCTGGTGGGTTCAAACCGCTGACCTTTTCATTTGCAGCTGAGCACTTAACCACTGCACCACCAGGGCTCCTTATAAAAAGTTCAACACGGACAATTTTTTCTCTACCTTAGAACAGATCAGTTTCTTGAGCTGAACATCATGCTATAAAAAAATACACTGCATCAGCTTCACTCGTAGCACACTGATGTGTAGGACGTAAGTCCAACTAAGGGAATAGTAGATTAAGTGTCTCCCAACTCAAGACTCCAGACAGATGCTCAGTGAATGAAATGGCAGACATTTTTAAATGAGTTAAATTGTGCCTGCTGCTCATGCGTACTCCATCAGTCTCTTGCTGTCTTCCTCACTATTCATTTAGCAAGTGTTCATTGAGTGCCTAACCTATGCCAGGGACTATTTTAGATATTGGTGATACAGAAGTGAACAAAACAAAGTTTGTGCCCTCTGGAATTTGCATTATAGTGAAGAAAGATAATAAGTGTGTGTGTGTGGTTTGTGTGTTAGAATGTATATGTATGCCAGCTGGTGGTAAGTACTGTGGGAGGAAAATATAGGAGGATAGGGAGTGACAGAGATTAGGAGGTGAAGAAGTGGTTTCTGTTTTATATGTGGTAGTTAAAGAAGGCTTGTCAGAAGGAAGTAAGAGAATAAACCATATGGATATCTGGGATAGAGGGTTCCTGTAAAAATGGCATGGGGAAGGTGTCTGATCTCCTCCAGCTCCACCATGGGGAAGGAAAACCAAGATCAACAGCCCACGGCGGATTCCTGTGAGATGGAGGTCAGACACACATCCTCTCTCCGCCATCTCTACCAATTCTGACACCAACTGTCTCTCCCATGGCATTCTACTGGGTTCGATAATTCGTTGCAATGGCCACACAGAACTAAAAGACCATACTCATGATTATGGGGTTTATCATAACGGTGTTCAGTTACAGTTCAGGCTCAGGAACACTCAGGATATAGTTCTTTCATCAAGACAGCCTCTCCCCAGCTGTGCTCTCAGGCACGCCTCTCCCTGGCCCTCAGTCTCTGCCCCAAAGGCACTTACTCAGCTGTCTCACTCCGTGGGCCCGGGAAGCCCACAGAGCTGTCTCCTGCTGCCAGGTCTTACCTTCCTTTGTGGTGGTGGGCTCCTCCTCTCTGCTCCGGAATTGGCTCACTTTTAAGGCAAAATTGACCATTCCCCTTGCTAGGCCACAATTACCCTATCACACAATCACCTGGGTGGTAGTTACAAGACCATGGCTAGAAAGGCCACACACAAAAGTAATTAATCACACCACAGTTCCAGGCAGAGGAAACAGTAAGAAGGCAGTGAAGTAAGCATATACCTAGGATGTTAATAAACGGCAAGGAAGCCAGTGTGGCTGGAGCATGTAAACAAGTGGGAGGAAGAATAGTAAGAGATGAAGTTGTAGCAATAGAATGCAGGCCAGAGCATCTAGGGCCTTGTAATCCAGAGTCAGGACTTCAGAGTGTTGTGGAAAGTCATTGGAGGGTTTAAGCATGTGAACTATCTGCAGTGTTTTAAGATCTCTCTGGGAGTTATGGGGAAAATAGACCATAAGGGGAAAGGGTGGAAACAGGAAGAAGATAGGAGGTTATTGCAGTAGTCCAGGTGAGTGGCTTGGACCAGCATGGTAGCTGTGGTTGGAGGTGAAGAGGAGTGGAAAGATTGTTTTTTGCAGGCAGCACTGACAGGTTTTATTAATGGGTTGGATGTAGGGTGTCAAAAAGAGTGACCAGGGTTTTTTGTTCTTAGCTGCTGCAAGAATGGAGATCTCATATACTAAGATACTGGAAAGATTGGGGAAGGAACAGGGTTTTTTTTTTTTTTTTTTCTGGGGTTGAGGGGAGGGGTGATCCTAGAATTCAATTTTGTCCGTATTAATTTGAGATGCCTGTTAAATATCAAGTAGTAATGCTGAGTAGCAGTTGGTTGGATGCTATTTAAAGCCATGAAAGTGAATAAGGTATAGGTATAAGTAGAGAAAAGATTTATGGTAACTATACTCTGGGGAACTTTTTATCTGTCCTGTCGTCTTGCTGTTGTTTCTTAGCTGAGTTTTTTCCTCTTCCCCTCTCTCTTGAGCATATAGGTGAATCTGTTTATGTTGCTTGTACCTATGACATGATCTAATGCACCACACTTCTAAAATACTCTTAAGATGATCTAGAATAGTAATACAAACACATTATATTTATATATTGCTTTGAACTTGTAAAGAACTTTTATTTATCTAATGCTTGCTGCGTGCCAGTAACTCTGCTAGGTACTTACATATACATTACTTCATTTGATTTTCATAAATGATTGTTTGCATTTTATATGGGAATTGTGATGGATCTGTAGAGATACAGCTTTTAGAGAAAACATCCTTTTGTGTTTATATCTTGTTTTGAATTTACATATATAGTATATATTTTTAAATTGAGAGCATAAACGTAAAAAGATTGCAATTGATAATAGTACAAAGAACACTGGACCAGTCATTTAACCAGCTGTGGGCAAGTAACTTAGATTTCTCTTGGATCGTATTTCCCATCTATGAAACCATAACAGGACTGGGTTTGAGGAGGGACTCAGTCAAGAGGTTCTCAAACAGTAGATTAGGATCAGTTGTTCTAATTTATGCCTCTACCCACACTGGTCTAATAGTATAGCCATTAGCCACGTGTGGCCGTTTAAATTTAAATTAGTTAAAATTATTAGTAGTACCGTATTGGACAGTGCAGCTGTAGAACATTTCTGTCATTGCAGAAAGTTGTTGGACAGTGCTGCTTTCTTTATTCAACTATTTCTATAAAATAACTTTCTTGGGAGTCTTTGGTTAGATTTGTTTGATTTTAGAAAGTTCCATTTATTTTACCAACTTGTGAAACAAATAAAGATAGCAGAAATATAAAAGAATTTACTTTTTCAAGGATAAACATACAGTATAGCTCATTTTCACAGTATTGTATGTTTGAATAGTTGATCCTTCAAATTTATAATTAAAATATCTTTCACACTACAGTTGGTAGGGGACTTTTCATAAGAACCTAATTGATAGAATTTTTCATGTTGGATGGCTATATGGTAACAAATACTTTTGGAACCCAGATACTAATGCAAGGAGTCATTTTTTTAATGAAATCATATTTTGGTATTACTTATGGTGGGAGATGGTAAAGTACTAGTTTTAAAAAAAGTATTTAGATATTAGAATGAAGAGCAATTTCAGGTCCCAGGATTTGTTTGGTATAAATTTTTTTTTCCTTTTTCTATAAACAGAAAAAAGGAATACATCGTTGCACAAAATGCAGACTACAATTTTTGACATGCAAGGAGAAAACTGATCACAAGATACAGCATCGGACATTTATAAAGCCTAAAGAACTAGAAGGATTGCCTCCTGGGACAAAAGTGAGTTTCAAATTTGTTGTATTTTAACATTTTGTGTGACAATAGAAATAAACTCCTGCCTGATTTTATCTATTGAATAAATATTAACAATTAATTTCTGATTCTTTATAGACTTTAATTTTAGGTTTTATCATATTCATGTTTGGAAAGAAAAACTTCTAACCTCATTGGCATGTGATACGTTGGAGTGGTATTCCTTTGTAGTGGGTTATCTAGATTAACTATAGACTGAGTTAATCAGTTGTTTCAATATCATATAGACTGTATTGGAACTATGCCAGTTGACAGTGGATATGTCTGTTTCAGCTGCTAGACTATAATGGTGTTTGAGATCAAGCATCATATTTAGTTTATCTTTGTGTCTCCAGCATCTGGCATTGTCATTTGAATGCCATAGGTTTTTTGAAGTTGGTATTATGGAGTCTGCTCTCATAAGCAAGTTCTGCTCCTGGATAGCATTACTGTTTTAAATGAGCAAACACATGTCTGACTATACGCTGATCATTGTAGTTTCTTTTTCCCTGGCTGCCTTATATACATCTGTTTTCTCTGACTTCTTTGTATAAAGTCAGCTCTTGAATATTTGCTCCTGTGGAGGGAAACGGAGGTATGGATAATCCAAAATGTCCCCAGACATATATGTTTGGTTTTGAATACTTACCTTTGAATTGGGTATGTCTGCTATTTGAATTAACTAAAATAATGTAAAGCCATACTATGAAGACCTAGAGCTAGAGAAGCTATCCAGTATCTGCAATCCATTCATTCCATGCTGGAACTAGACATGCAGAACACTAATGTAAGCAGTACAGTCCTCTCTCACATGGCTAGGAAAAGGTAGTACTGGATTTAACCTCAGGTCTTTTGACTCCTAGACCAGTGCTTTTTGTATGATACCAAACCACATGTATTTCATAGGACTTCCTCATAGGCTCCTCCTCAGGTACATGGGGAGAATATTATAGTCAAATGATTAAAAAGAATGTTTGGTAGGCGACTGTTTTCCATTATCAACCAATGGATATAATCAAACATTTTCTTTGTCTGACTGCTAAATAATAAATTTTATATTAATTCCCTCTAAGGAAATTCTGAATATTTTTAAATGCTCCATGCTGTCTGATGAATTTATGTCACCTCTCCCATAACCATTGGAAGCACATATCCTGCCTAATGAGCCCTAGAAACAGAAGGTCATATTTATTGGACATCTTTTTTTTTTATATAATTATCAGAGGTTAATGTAAGCCTTTCCAGAGTTATTTTTTTGGGCTTTGAGATGTAAATTTTGACCTATATTTGTGAAAGTTTTTAGTTATATCAAATCATGAAAGTAGCCCATGGAATGTGCTCTTTTGATATTAATATAATTTAACTCCTAATTATCCTAATTATCCATTAATACTGTGTTAACATATAATTGCTATCAGTACAACAACCATAAATAAATATCAAGGTAAATTTTATTTAATTGGTGTGACCATTTAGGCTAAAGGAAAGATTTATCTGATTACAGTTTTTATTGGATAACTTCATGGATAAGAATCAGCATGGATCCAATCCCCAAAATGTGGAGATTAATCCAGTCCTAACTTTCCATTTCTCAATCATTTCTGACACCAGCTGCCCACATGGCACACTGTCTCTTTTACCCTAGCCACCTGGAGCTAGGTCAGATCTCACAGGTTAAAAGGACGCCATCTTTCAGACTGTCAAAATAGGCAGACAGCAGCCACAAGTTTGGAGAGTCCACATGACACCCTCACTTTCACCTGCTAGTTCCCCCTTCTCCTTTGGGTTCGATAATTCCTTGGAACAACTCCCAGAACTCATAGAAAGCACTATATTTACAATTATAGATTATAGCAGAACGGTACAAATCAGGATCATCATAAGCAAGAACTGCACAGGTGAGGTCTGGGAGGGTTCCCAATGAGCTTCTCTGTCTCAAAGAGGACCTGTCACCTTCCCTTTACCAATCAGGAAGCTCTGAGCCTTCATATTCCGGGCTTTTATTGGCCAGTCCTGCATGATAGGCTAAATCATGCCTCCTGAGGCTGGTTGATATCTGCCTCCCAGGTGGGTCTTTCTAGTCTGACCAGCCCCTGCTTGCCAACACAAATCCTTAGGTGTGGCCTGGGACTCCCAGGCCAAGGCACCCCAGTTACTCCAAGGGATATTTCTCAGGAACCAAGGATAAAGGCCACCTTACTGTGGGTAAAGCTTTGTATTGCAGGGTTGTTTTTGTAACAGCTTTATTGAAATATAACTCACACCATACAATTCACCCATTTAAAGTGTACAATTCAGTGGTTTTATCATATTTACGAAGCTGTGCAAATACCACTATAATCAATTTTAGAACATTTGCATTACCTCCAAAAAAAAACCCCATATGCATTAGCAGTCACTCCCTATTTCCCCCTTCCCCAGCCCCTGGCAGCCATTAATCTACGTTCTGTCTGTATGGATTTGCTTATTCTGGACATCTCAATATGTGGTCTTTGGGACTGGCTTCTTAGCATAATGTTTTCAAGGTTCATCCATATTGTAGCATATATATAAATACTTCCTTCCTTTTTATGGCCAAGTAATATTTCATTGTATGGATATACCATATTTTGTTTGGAGCCCTAGTGACGTGCAGTGGTTAAGAGCTCAGGCTGCTAACCAAAAGGCTGGCAGTTCCAATCCACCAGCCACTCCTTGGAAACCCTATGGGGCAGTTCTGCTCTGTCCTGTAGGGTCGTTATGAGTTGGAATCGATGCAACAGCAACAGGTTTGGTTTTTGGTTTTATTGTTTTGTTTATCCAATTATCAATGCACATTTGGGTTGTTTCCACTTTTTGGCTATTATGAATAATGTTGCTGTGAATATTCACGTACAAGTGGACATAACATTTTTATTTTTCTGAGTATATACCTAGGAGTGGAATTGCTTGGTTATATGGTAACTGTCTATTTGAAGAAATGCCCGGCTGTTTTCCAAAGTGACTGTACCATTTTACATTCCCACCAGCAATGTCTAAGGGTTCAGTTTCTCCACATCCTTGTCAACACTCGTTATTATCCGTCTTTTTTATTGTAGCCATCCTAGTGTATGTGAAGTGATTGGTCATTGGGGTTTTGATTTGCATTTCTCTAATAACTAATGATGTTGAGCATCTTTTCATGTGCTTATTGGCCATTTGTTTATCTTCTTCAGATGCTTTGCCTATTTTTAAATTGGGTTAGTTACAGTATTTTTATTAATTGAGTGGTAAGAGTTTTTTATACATTCTAGTCCCTTATCAAAGATCTGATTTGCAAATACTTTCTTTCATTCTGTGGGTTGTCTTTTCACTTTCTTGATTGTATCCTTTGAAGCATAAAAGTTTTCAGTTTTTATAGAATTCAGTTTATCGAATTCTCTTTAGTTGCTTATGTATCAGGTGTCATATTTAAGAAACCAGTGCCTAACCCAAGGTCACAAAGTTTTCTTCTAAGAGTTTTATAGTTTTAGCTCTTACAATTTGGTCTTTGATCTATTTTGAGTTAATTTTTGTTTATAGTATGAGATAGGGGCCAACTTCATTCTTTTGCAAGTGGATATCCAGTTGTCCCAACACCATTTGTTGAAAACACTATTGTTCCCCATTGAACTGTTTTGGCACCCTTATCAAAAATCAGTTGACCCTACATTCTCCAATCAGTTTATCAGTAATAAAGTGATATTTTTAACACTAATTTGATGATTAATTTTCTAAAATCATATATTACCTTCATTTTTATAGGTCACTATTCGAGCTTCACTTGGACCTCTTCAATCAAAACCATCAACTACACTTTCAAGTGACACTCCGAGCACTTCGCTTCAGGTCTCACCTCCAATTTCTAAAACTAAAACTGGTAAAAATACCACAAAATCTAATGCAAGTAAATCTAAGACAAGTAAACCTCATGCAACTACATCCACTGCAAGTAAACCTAAAGCAAGTAAGGCAAGTGGAGTTGGATCTAAATTCAAACCACAAGCCTCTTACAAGCTAAAGAAACAGCGCAACAGAAAAAGTAAAATCAGCACAGCTTTGAAGAACCTAAGGTAGTATCTTTTATTCCTAATAAACAATATTAATTTAATCTTAGATTATTAAAAGTTTATTTTAATATAAATTTACCATGTCACAGAACCCCCTGCACATTCATGTGGTATCACTTACCTGGCATAAAGGCCAAGCAAATAATAAAGAGGTGTTTAGTCTATAATTTTCATCTATTATGGTAACCTTATATCTTACACTACACTTATATCTTGGAATATTTGAATTGATTAATCTTTTTTATTCCTATTCTAGCTTGTTCCAAAGCAAATATTAAAATAATAAGTATTTATTTTAAAGATATTCATTTATATAGCTTGCCTTCAATTAGTAAAATTTTAATAAGGTTTTCCTTTTCTTTTAAAATATATTGTTACCATTTTCTCTGTCTCCATAAGGTTTCGTCGGGGAGTTCACAAGTGCATTGAGTGTCGTTCCAAAATAAAAGATTTTGCAAGCCACTTTTCTACATATGGCCACTGTAATTTTTGCAAATACAACAGTAACTGTAGCAAAGCTTTTGTAAATCATATGATGAGGTGAGTTAAATATGTAAATTGCCCATCAAAATTTCCATTGAGGAAGTTTGTTTTTAGAAAACCAGGTTGTCCTGTTAGAAGCCAGTTCGTCTCATCAAGGAGCTAAAATGGTCTAGCAATAGGGAACTTCTAGGATATCGCCCAGTACTGTTTTCACCATAGTAACTCATGAAATTACTAGGACAAAATTTTAAGAACAGTTAGACTAATGAAATTAGAATAGGTTTGTTAGGGCAATTTGTTTTTCTTTGGGCATTTTTTTTCTTATTTTATAGGTCTTTCAAAAAATGATTATTTTCAAATATACACTTTAAATGTTTTCAATATTTTTATGAAATAAATACATGTAACCACATGAGTGGTATCCTTTTCAAACCACTTACTTTGAGAGACTCCAGGTTTTTCAATGATGTTAAGAACATTATTGGGTCGGGGTGTCTCTGTCTCACTCATTCATCTGTCCTTCCTTTCATCCGTGCATTCATCTTTTAAGCCATCTATTTTTGCATTCATTTAGTGAAATGAGATACTAAGGGATAGTTTGGTTATGATGCTACTGTTGGAATTCCTTTTCATACATTGATTCAATTTGTTATTTGAGCACCTACCATGTACTGTATGCTAGGGAAAGCCTTCATAGCCCATGTTATTTTATCTGGCTCTTGTTAGTAGGTATTTATTCCTTCAGGATGTATTTTTATTTTTTTAAATAACCAAAAATTGTTCAGATATAAATCTGATAAAATGATTATGCAAATTCAGGTTGTTCCAGAAATAAGGTATAACCAGGAAAAGTGATTTCTTACAGATCCTGTCATAGCCTGTGTGTTACTTTCTGGTCATAATCAGCTCCTGCTTTAAAGGATTTGCCCACCTTTTTTGATAGCTTCAGCATCTGTCTCACGGGGGGGTTTTATGCCTTTGATGATCAGTCTGACTTCATGGTACCTGACTTCTTTATGCCAGAACTTCGCATCTACCTGTAACTTGTTGTACCGTTTCTCATCACTGTTCGATTTTAACCCCATCATATACTATATTCATTCATTTTGAATTCTCATTCCCTGATGACTTGCAGGGCCTTGATCACTCTTTCCAATCCAGCAACACCCATCAAACTTTATAGTCAACCTCAGCCTCTAGGTTATCGGTTTTGAATGCTGCTTTGTTTTGTCCTGGAGTCCTGGACATCCTCAGCCTTTACTCCAGGCCAGCTCACCTTTTTGATCTTCTCTATGCTCACTTCTAACCTACCAAATTGTGCTTGACTCAGTCAGCTCTGAATACATGATCCTTAACTTTGATTGGGTCCTGCCTTTTTTTATACCTCTTTATTTTTATCTCCATCATCTGTATAAACCTTTTTCAGTAACGTCAAGATTTTATTCTTGTCCCAGTTGTTAGCCTTGCCTAGTGATTACTCAGAGTTTATCCTTTTCATCTTTCCCAAAATTACCTTTATTTCTACTTCTTTTTTTTTCTGTTACATTCATCAGGATATTAATCTCAGAAAACAAACATATCCCATCTTCTGCTTTCCCTCCACCTTCATTTCATCTCTGTCTCTACCACATTCCTTCTGCCTACAAATATTTTCAGGTATATTTTTTAGGATGAGGGAGATTTGCCTTTACTTTCCTTATTTTTTTGTCTTCCTTTTACCATCAACATTTCTAAATAGCTTATTTGTCATTTACCCTTTGCAATTGGAATATGACCCCCATTTATCAGCTAAAACTGCCCCTTTAAAGGTTATCAGTCATGTCGTAATCACTAAATGTAAGTGTGGTAAATGCAAGCAAGGCCAGTGCTTACCAGACTCTAGCTTGCATAAGAATCACCTGAAAAACTTGTTTAAAAAGATTTCTGAAATATTTTGGAAAAGGATAGTGATAATGGAGGCACGGCATGGAAAATATAGTCAATGTTATTGAAGTTGTTGTATCAGCAAATGTTTTGGTGCGTATATTTTCACCACAGTAATTTAAAAAAAAAAAAAAACGATTCCTGAGCCCCACTGCCAGAGATAGATTCACTAGGTTTGCAGTGGGGCCTGAGACTTTGCATTTCTAATAAGCTCCCAGGTGATGCTAATGCTGCCAGTCCATTTACCACACTTCCAGTAATACTGTGCTAGGCTAATCCTGGCTAATCCTGCCTGGCTTTCTAATACCGGAAATCTTTCCTTATCAATTTCAAAGGGGGTATAAAAGCTATTACCATTGACTACAAAGTTTGGTTAATGGTTTTCTGTTCTGTGCTTAGGGGAAGCACTGGTTTAACTTAGGAGCTCTGCTTCCTTTAATTTGCTTTCTTTAAAAGCTCTCCTAGTAATTGCAAAGAACTCTTTAAGTGTTTGATTTTACAGATGGTAAACAATGGCATTTAGCTCGGGTAGTGTTTACTTCCAAGATCTTCCAGATTCTCCCCCCCACCCACACACACACACAAAACCATATTAAGGTAAGAAAGTGATTATTATTATTATTAACAGTTTACATTATAGAAAAATATGTTATTTGCAAATGTGATGACTTACTATAAAATAAAATTAATCAGATCTCTTTTGTCTCTTGTCTCTTCAGCTGTCATAGCAGCAATCCAAGTAAACGGTTTTGTATTTTTAAGAAAAATTCAGGAGCTATCAGGTAACCAGTTGATATTTTTTCATTCTTTCTATTGAAAAATTATAATAACTTTTTTTAACCTAATGATGAGGTGCCTAGTTTGGAAATGTAAATGATTGCTACTGGATGTGACAGAGTTCTGTTCATTATATCCTTGGCCAAAGGGAGTAATAAATAGCCTGTCTTCTCTGGCTACACTTTTGTTTCAGTGATGTCAGGCATTAAGATGAAATTTTCACACATTTGCATTCTAAAGTAAGAACAGAAATAAGGTTCTCTGACAATATTTGAATATTAAAATATATTTAAGATACCTAGTAAAATGACTCCACCACCCATCTGTCAGTTTGTTATACTGTGGTGGCTTGTGTGTCACTTTAATGCTGGAAGCTATATCAAATGCCAGCAGGGTCATCTATGGTGGACAGGTTTCAGCAGAGCTTCCAGACTAAGACAGACTAGGAAGAAAAGCCTGTCAACCTACTTCTGGATCACAACAGAATGTTATCTGACTCTGTACTGGAAGATGGGGCTCTAGGTTGGAAGACATTCAAAATACACAGTGGCCATAATAGTGGACTTGAGAATACCAACAATCGTGAAGATAGTACAGGGAATGGGCAGTGTTTTGTTCTGTTATACATGGGGGTTGCCATGAGTCGGAGCTAACTTGACAGCAACTAAAAACGACATTAAAATGACTAATACTTCTTCAGTTTTGAAGTAAATTTATTAAACCACACTAATACTTTAAATCAATATATAGCCTTCCTAATTCTTAGTTTTTTCTTTTTGAAATAAAGAAAAGTGCACAACTTGTTTACTGTGCAGAAAGAATTTTTGATGAGTAATAAATAATTAATTTTGGTTGCAGCACATATTTATCCCAGAATCCACTGAACACCATTTTTTGACATTCTTCCTTTGTTTATTTTGCTCATGTTGGCACTGCTACTTGAAATATTAGTTTCAAGATTTTTGTAGCACCAGGCTAAGACATAGATATAAGTTTAGCCAATACTTTTTTGATGCTTTAAGTTAGTGGAAAAGATAAAGAGGAGATGATACTATGTCTCAGGACCTTCGTATTTGTTATTCCCTCTGCCTAGTTTGCTATGATATCTGCATGGTTAGCTCCGTCACCGCCTTCAGGTCTCTACTCCAGTGAGTGAGGCTTTCTTTCCTTGACCACTCCATTTAAAATAGCATCCTTTCCTGTGTGTCCCACCCCCAGCGCTCCCTATCTCCCTTCGATTCTTGTTTTTTCTTCATATAAACTTTTTACTATCTGACATACTCTATATTTTACTCTTTTATTTACTGTCTGTGTCTTCTCACTGTAATGTGTATTCTGATATTTGTTTACACTAGATATTTTCCAGGCATTGAATAGTTAGTACCTGGCACATTGTAGGCATTCAGCAAATATTTGCTGAATAAATTAATGTATATGTTGAAAACCACATATGTGAATGATGGGCCCCATCTACAATGTTGGACCGGTAGCTCACAGCCAGAGAAAAGTTTGATTTAAGTTTTTTTAAATATGCTAGTACTATTTTTAAAACATTACTGAATTCAAGGAATTAGAAAAGAGTAAGCTATACTAGATGTTGCCTTTACTGAAAACTTTTTAGAAGAATGAAAAGGGTTTTATTGTATCCTATAAGATGAGACTTTGAGTTTTACTGTACCTCACTATTGTCAAGCTCAGTTATGTGCTTGGTTTTTAAATTAACTGTATGATTTTAAAGACCTGAGAAGCCTTTTTCTCAACTTGAGTAGGTCTCAAATTTAAATTGAGTATTGGTCAGTTTCTGTGTATGGGACTTAGCATATTTATAATTCTATAGAACAATAATTTTTTGTAATTACTATTTTATCGGAATGAGATGTTCATTCTGTAGCTACTTATTGTGCACCTGTCATATATAACACAGTGTAGCAGGTCTTGTAAAGATGACAATGATGACGAAGCCTTAGTACCAACCTCCAGGGAATGTATAGTTTATTGGAGGGAAATAAGGCATGAACATAAATAACTACATTAATATACAGATGTTTGTAGTAAGTGCAATGAGAGTTACTGATTTCTAAAGGAAGAGAGGCTTCTACTGATAATAAGAGGCATACACAGGGAATGGCTAGTAGTAAAGTTTAGATGGAGCACAAAATCCATATGGCATAGTAATAAGATGGAAAGTCTGAAAGAATGAATACTTTTGAGCTTAGATCCAGATTGTGAAAGCCTTGAAAACAACACTAGGGAGTTTGGACTTAATTTGGAAGACACTGGGAAACCATTAGTGTACTGAGTAGTATCAAGGGTATTGAAGAAGGGGTATGCAAGGTCAGTTGTTGCTGCATGAGTCACATAGACTAGTTAGGGCTACTGTGGTAGTCATAAGATTTAATAAGGTCCTGAGTTAAGGCGGAACCCTGGTGGCACAGTGGTTAAGAGCTCAGCTGGTAACCAAAAGGTTAGCAGTTCAAATCCACAGCTGCTCCTTGGAAACCATATAGGGCAGTTCTACTCTGTCCTGCAGAGTCGCTATGAGTAGGAGTAGACGCGACGGCAACAGGGGTTTGAGTTGAGGTGATGGAGTGATACTACATCTTGTTTTAGAACATGGGCTCTGGAATCAAAAAAACTCAGTTTCACACCTGGTCCTGACACTTATCCTGACACTTACCTGGTCCTGGCCTTGTCATGTTATTAAACCTGACCCTGTCCTCTATAAAAAGGTGATAATTACAGCACCTACCTCTTTGGGTTGTAAGATTTAGATATGTCTAAAGCCCTCAGCCTGGCACAGAGTAAGTGCTCAATACGTTGTTAGTATTATAAAATGTTTAAAATACTGAATGTTTTAAGGAAGAAGAGAGTCAGAGATAACTACAATTTTGAGCCTTAGTTGTCAGGGTAAATGGTGTCATAAGAGAAACCAGTCAGGAAGTTGATTTTCGGGGGTGGAGAGTGGGGGTTGTCCCTGATTTTAGTTTTTTGAAGATCATTTTTGATGTGCAGTGTGACATCTAGGTGTAAATACTCAGCAGGCTGTTACACTAGAGCCCCAGGGGAGAAGTTAGTCTAAGATATGCTACGTGTTTTTATTCCTGTACAGGTGAAATACTTAAAAGTATGTGGTGAACTTCAAAGGCGTATTTATGCTTTGTTAATAAACTGTTAATAACAATAATCACATTACATGATCTGTTATTAAAGCCTTCACATTTCTTTTCTAATTTTATCCTCACTTAAGTAAGACACTACATTGTAGGCTCCGTTAGAGCACAGACTGTACCTTTTTTGTTTACCATTGTATCCAAAATACCTAGTAGTACAGTGTGTGTAAAGCAGGTCCTCAGTAAATATATACTGAATGAATGAATGTTATATCTTTGTTCTGCAGATGGGCAAAGGCACAGAAAGCTTGTGACTTGCTCAAGTTACACAAGTTGTTAGTGGAGCCAAGACTAGACTGTAGGTCTCTTGACACCTAGCTTTTAGCAATGAGTATGAGAAGGAACAGTTTATAGGCACAAATAATTTCTGTAAATAAACGGTAGCATAATTTGGAATGGCGATGGCATTTTTTAGAGAATCGTGTCAATTACATCAGGTTTATATAACAAATAGGAAAATTATAGTGATGACACATAAAGGAAATCATGAGTTATTACATAGAAAAATAATTATTGAACTTGTCTATGGATTATTATAAAGGATAAAAACCTTTTTTTACTGCTTTCTTTTTTCATAGGGGCATTACTCTAGTGTGCCTTAAATGTGACTTCCTAACTGATTCTTCTGGTTTAGATCTCATGGCTAAACACTTAAGTCAACGTAAAACTCATACTTGCCAAGTTATAAAAGAGAGTGGTATGTATATATAATTGTATTACTTTGGATTTGGATTTTTTGTTTATTCCAATATTTTTGATCAGCCACAGTATGGATTCTTTATGTATTAAATTGATAGTCTCACTCATCATATATGCTGTTTTAAATGTAAAACTTTTCTTCTAATTTTAGTTTCTGAAAATACCTCAACTTCTGCACCCACTTCTGAGTAAGTTTAATTTTCATTCAGTGCATTTTACTTTGATGGATTTTAGCACTGTTGCATTTTTTTAATGTATCATTAATAGAAATGAAAAATATTAAAGTATTTTGTTTTTGTTTTTTTTTTTTTAAAGCTGCTTGTTGAACTAGATTCCTCCCGCTCTATGGAGCTCGTGCAACCTGGTGCAAGACAAGTTGGAATTTCCTAAGTTCAAAGTTCTGAAGTGTTTTCTTACACAAAGGCAGTTTTCTAAGCTCAAAGTTCTGAAGTGTTTTCTTACACAAAAGCAGTTAAACGACCAAGTTCATGACACTAGTTCTCATTACTCAGTTCTTTTCAGCTTTCAGATGGCACTAGATTCTTATTCCACCTTATCTTTGTGTCAGGTTAACATATCTTAACATCTTTTTTTTTCTCCAGTTGCCTCTCTCCAAAAATAACTTTTGTTGCTATGGCCTTTTCTTACTTTGCTTAAAATAATTTGTGTTTTTCTCTGCTGTACTTGCCTTTAGAATATTACATTCCAAACGATATGGCTGTTCATCTTCTTTTGTCTGTTTTGTCTGCTTTCTTTGTTAATTTCTTACAAGTCTTACATTTTTAGGTCAGATAGCTGTCTTTTCTCCCATTCCTTGTCTGTCATTGTTCTATTTTTCCTATTTTTCAGATGTGGAAGCAACACAGAAATTTCAAAAAATATCCAGGGTACTCCTGGACAGTGTCCCCCTTCGATGGACACAACTGATGCCTGTTCTCTCTTTCCAAGAAATGTGAATAATTTGACTGTGAGATCTCCTCTAGTTTGTGGCCTCAAGAAATCATATCTTGGGGAGAGTACCTTTCTACATGACTGGCCTCCCGTAAGGCTGGTGCTGATTTGGCCAGAGATGACCTCAAAGCCCACCAAATTGAGCACATCTCCCCACTGTGGGCTTTGGCTTTTGATCTTGAGCTTATGGTTCGATTCTGACCAAGAAAAGCCCATCAAATCAATGCTTCAACATCCAAGTTGAAGTTTAATCATTTTGGCTGCTGCCCTTTAATCTTCCTCTAGCATGCATGCAGTCCAAGGAATACTAAAGTTCTGGTTGTGTAGAGACCAAGGTTACTTTCATGTTCTTACAACAAGTTTCTAAAATTACAGTTCCAAAGTTATACTTTTTTGTACTGTCATTTGAAGTTTTATCCAGTATTAACTCTAGGAATTAATCAGCAATATTAATATTCAGATTTTTTTCTTTTTTTTTTAATTTAATTTAATTTTGGTAACTTGATTTTATGTTTTCTCTAAAGTTTTTGATGTCCATTTTGTTATGTATGTCTACTTTTATGTTCTTCTTTTGTAAAACTTTTGTTCCGTGCTTGTTTTGTTTTGTTAAGAATTTCGAGATTCCTTAGACTCCTACAGATTTTATGTAGCTACCTATAGGGTTGCTATAAGACAGCACACAACAGCAACAACATCACCAGTTGGTAGCTTTTTAATTTGGCAGTTGTTCAGACCAGCAGACATTAGTACATCCTCTGTCTGTCTCAGAACTGTCATTACTAACATTATCTTAATGTTTGTGAGTTCAAAGATACAAAGAATTGGTGAAAACTCTTCTTAACAGACCTTAAAACAAGTTTTAAAGTTACACTTCTGTATATCTACTACATAATATCTTCTTAGTCATTAATGTAGTTCCTTTGGATAAAGATAATATATTCAAAAATATTGGGACCAAAAATGCACTTGTTTCTTGCCCATATATATATAGATGTATATTTTTTTTAATTTTGTGTTTGTTTATTTTGGTTACATTGAATATAGATTTGCTGAACAGTTTTGATGTTATTACTTATTTTTTTAATAAAATTTGAATTACTCAAGTGCCTTGGTAATTATTTTCTAATAAATAACTTCTTATAAAAGCTATAGATTTTATCATATAAATAAGAGAATTGCTTTACTTGTTTCATGGAGCCCTAATTACTTGGCCTGCAGGCTGAGAGCTTTATCTGCTTAGTGTATCTTGCACTTTTTCCTCCAGCACAATGAAAACATCACTATACTTTACTGATTTCTTGAATTTTAAAGACTAGCAACATTCCCTTTGTGATCTTAATAACCATGAAGGTAGGCAAAGCTCTGAAGTTAAGACTCAATTATAAGTCATGCTTTACTCTAAAATCAGAACTTCTTGAATTATACTTTGAAACAGAATTCTCCTTGCAATTTATAATCAAAAGAGATTAATCCATTCGTTTTAATTTTCCAAACTGATTTCTGCTGTGAATGATTTTCCAAAATCTCCAAAAATGGCTTGGTTCTTAGTAGCAAACTTGGTGATATTCCAGTCTTTATTTCCTTATCTATCTCTAGGATGTTTTCTCATCCACCCCATATCTACTCCTTTTTTTTTTTAAGTTTCAAGCTTTTGCCCGGAAATAATAGTGTCTTTCCATCATTAACAGAAATTCTCTTTTCATTTATAAATATTTTATCTGCCTTGGTCATAGTTGAAAAATATGGTAGACCACATTCTAACTATAGCAACATTGTAGGAGGAGTACTGCTTTGTGGGTGCAGAGGAGGGTAGTAGAGGATAGAGCCTGAGAGGTCATGTGGACCATGTAGGGCCTTATAGGCAAGTGTAAGGATTTTACTCTGGAAGGAAGGATTATAGGATTTTAACTAGAGAAATATTTTACATCTCAATAAAAAAATGCAAAAAAAAATCCTTAAATACAGAATAGTGTCATAACAGGATCACTCTAGCTGCTGTTGTGAGAATAAGCTGTCGGGGACCAAGGACAGAATCAGGGAGATCAGTTAGGAGGTTATTGTAAAAATCCAGGAGAAATGATAGAGGCTTAGATTAGGATGGTAGCAGTGTAGGCGATAAGTGGTTCGATTTTGGATATATCTTGAAGGTTGAGCCAACAGATTTTGTTGATGGTTTGGATGTGAGGTGTGAGAGAAGGTGTTGAGGACAGTACAGCTATTAACCTGAGCAACTTTAACAATGATGTTGATATTAACTGGGAAGACTGAGGGAAAGATTTGGGAGGGAAGTTGAGGACTTCGATTTGTGACACATTTGAGTTTGAGATGCCTATGAGATATCCAAGTGGGTATATCATGGACATTAGGATGGATGACTTGGGAGTTTAGGGGAGAGGTCCAGTCTGTCAGTACAGCTGTCATGAGACTGTGTGAGATCACCAAGGGATAGAGTAGAGACTGAGAAAAGGCCAAGGTGCGTAGACAGCTCTGGGGCATTCCAACACTAAGAGGTTGGGGAGATGAGAAGGAGTCGGCGCAGGGGATGAGGAGTGGCCAGTGATGAGGAATACCAAGGGAGGGGTGGTATCCTTGAAGCCTCAGGTGCCCTATTTGTACAACATGGGTGCTAACTTAATTCTAGAGTTCTGGAATTCTATTTTGATTATACGTAAACGTCACTTATCATTTGTTCTATGAGAAAACGAATTCAGATTACCACATAAAGTTATCCCCAATAGCAGAAACAGGGACTCTTTCAATCTTGAGAAAATTAAATGTTTCCATTGCACCCAAACCCACAGCCGTCAAGTCGATTCCGATTCATAGCGACCTGGGCATGGTTAATTTTCTCCATGTTCTCTTGTAGAGATAATTCTCTCCCATTTCTATATAAGAAGGTATCTAGGTCTAGAACTAATGTCCATAATTTATAATTTATAAATGGTCTGCAAAATAAAGGTTCCACGGTCAATAGTAGGAACTACTAGGTTAAAGTTAAATAGATTCTTTATTGTGGGATTTTTCATGCAACATGTAGCCTCTGATTCCCCAAGAAAAAACTTAGCAGGCACTTATTTTACCCTGGAATTTTCCCCAAAAAAAACTTAGTAACTTCTTGATATTAATCTCTATAGCATGTGGAAAATTTTGATTTACAATAATCATTCTTCAGATTTTCTGAATTGGGGGAAGTAAAATGTTAAGTGAGGGTGTTGACTAAGGTGGACTCCTAGACATAAATCATTTGTAAGGTGACAAGCTCCCAGACAGAGCTGGAGAAAAAAGTAGAACAAAATTCTAACTCAGAAAAAAAAAAAAAAAAAAAGACCAGACATACTGGTCTGACAGAGACTGGAGAAACCCTGAGAGTATGACCCCCGGACTCCCTTTTAGTTCAGTACTGAAGTCACTCCTGAGGTTCACCCTTCAGCCAAAGATTAGGCAGGCCCATAAAACAAAACGAGACTAAATGGGCACAGCAGCCCAGGGGCAAGGACGAGAAGGCAGGAGAGGACAGGATAGCTGGTAATGGGGAGCCCAAGGTTGAGAGGGGGAGAGTATTAACATGTCATGAGGTTGGCAACCAGTGTCACAAAACAATATGTGTATTAATTGTTTAATGAGAAACTAATTTGCTCTGTAAACCTTCATCTAAAATACAATTAAAAATAAATCTCCAGAAAAAAAAAAATCACTAACTCACTGTCTTAGTCATCTAGTACTGCTGTAACAGAAATACCACAAGTGGATGGCTTTAACAAAGAGAAATTTTTTTCCTCACAGTAAAGTAGGCTAAAAGTCCAAATTCAGAACGTCAGCTCCAGGGGAAGGCTTTCTCTCTCTGTCGGCCTTCTCATCAATCTTTCCCGAACTACAAGCTTCTCTGTGCAGAGACCCCGGATCCAAAGGACACGCTCTACTCCCAGCACTGCTTTCTTGGTGGTATGAGGCCCCCCACTCTCTGCTTGCTTCTCTTTTATCTCTTATAAGATGAAAGGTGGTGCATGCCACACTCCAGGGAAAGTCGCTTTACATGGATCAGAGATGTAACCTTTTAGTAAGGGTGCTAACAATCCTACCTTAATCCTCTTTAACATAAAATTACAATCAAAATGGAGGACGACCACACAATACTGGGAATCATGGCCCAGCCAAATTGATGCACACATTTTTGAGGGGACATAATTCAATCCATGACACACACACACAAAAAAAAGACCAGACTTACCGGTCTGACACAGACTAGAGAAACCTGAGAGTATGGCCCCTTGTCACCCTTACAGCTCAGCAATGAAGTCACTCCTGAGGTTCACCCTTCAGCCAAAGATTAGACAGGCCCATAAAACAAAACAAGACTAAATGGGCACACCAGCCCAGGGGCAAGGACAAGAAGGCAGGAGGGGACAGGAAAGCTGGTAATAGGGAACCCAAGGTCGAGAAGGGGAGAATGTTGACATGTCATGAGGTTGGCAACCAATGTCACAAAACAATATGTGTATAAATTGTTTAATGAGAAACTTGTTTGCTTTGTAAACCATCTAAAGTACAATAAAAAAATGAAAAATCATTTGTAAGGTGGAGTATATAACGAGGCTGGCAATATATGTTTTCATATTTCTATAAATTATTTTATCAGGGAAAATTTATGCTTATTAGTATGCTTACAAAAGTCTAAGAAATACAGAACTGGGACAGACCAGTTATTTTTGTTGAAGAGCATGGTTACATGACTTCTAACCCAAGAAGCTTAAGACTATCTTAATTATTTCTACCGTCTTCCTATAACTCATTATGCTCAGCTTATCACTGTACTTACTTTTCTTGAAACTATGACTATTTTTGATCTATTATTATCTATTAAGGGCTTTCTTAATCTGTAACGTTTTACTTCCTGCTTAAATAGCTTCAACAGATCTTCCTTGATGTTAGGATTAGGAGGTTTGAGTAAACCCCCTTAAACCCTTAAAGGGGCAGTGTGGTGGGTGGTTAAGAGTTCATGCTCTACAGCAAACTGCCACTTACTAGTGTGTAACTTTGGGCAAGTTAGTTGACTTCTGTGCCCCAGTTTTTTCATTTGTAAAATGAAGATTTTACAACACCTACTCTTATGGTTATTGAGGGAATTAAATGAGCTAATGTGTATATACACCCTGGTGGTGCAGTGGTTAAGAGCTTGGCTGCTAACCAAAAGGTTGGCAGTTTGAATCCACCAGCTGCTCCTTGGAAACCCTATGGGGTAGTTCTTCTCTGTCTTACAGGGTCGCTGTGAGTCGGAATCAACTTGACAGCATTTTGTTTTAATGTGTATAAAGCACTTAGAACAGTAACTGGCACATAAACACTAACAATGTAAGTCATTATAGTTACTATTAATCTTAACCTATTACTACCCTTCATGATTTTATTTCTGTGTTTGTTTTATTCAGATAGAAAACAGTTGATGTTGAGTCGACTCTGACTCAGGGTAACCCCATGTGTGTCAGGGTAGAACTGCACTCCATAGAGTTTTTTTTTTTTTTCTATTTTGTTGTTGAGAATATACACAGCAAAATATACACCAATTCAACAGTTTCTACATGTACAATTTAGTGACATTGATTACGTTCTTTGAGTTGTGCAACCATTCTCACACTCCTTTTCTGAGTTGTTCTTCCCCCATTAACAGAAATTCACTGCCCCCTAAGGTTCCTATCTGATCTTTCAAGTTGCTGTTGTCACTTTGATCTCATATAGGTAGTTTTTAAAGGAGCATAATGCTCAAGGAAGATCTTTTTTACTAGTTAAGCTAAACTATTGTTTGGTTTTAAGAAGATTTCAGGGGATATGTTTGGTTTAAGGTTTAAAGATTATCTCAGGGAAATAGTTTCAGGGATTCATCCAACCTTCATGGCTCCAGGAAGTCTGTAGTCCATGAGAATTTAAAATTCTGTTCTATATTTCCCCCCTTTTGATCAGGATTCTTCTATAGAATCTTCGATCAAAATGTTCAGTAATGATAGCCAGGCACCATCCAGTTCTTCTGGTCTCATGGCGAAAGAGGCAGTTGTTTATGGAGGCAATTAGCCACACATTCCATATCCTCCTTCTATTCCTGACTCTCCTTCTTTCTCTGGTGCTCCAGGCAAATCGAGACCAAATGTTGTGCCTTGGATGACCACTTGCAAGCTTTTAAGACCCCAGGCACTATGCAACGAACTAGGCGGTAGAACAGAGGCACTAAACATGTTATTAGGTCAGTTAACTTGGATGTCCAATGAAACCGTGACCCTAAACCTCCAAACCAAGAAACCAAATCCCATTAGGATTTGGGTTGTATATAAGCGGGATCAACAGCTACTTTTTTTTTTTTTTTTTGGTCTTTATTTTAAATATGTCTATCACACAACTTTTTCCAATTCAACTTTTTCCAGGTGTACAGCTTACTGAATTGACAGCAATTACAGTAATCGGTTCATAGGATTTTCAATGGCTGATTTTTCAAA